ACTTACACACACTTACACACACACAGTTACACATACTTACACACACCTACACACACACACTTACACACACACCTACACACACACACCTACACACACACACACCTACACACACACACCTACACACACTTACACACACTTACACACACACAGTTACACACACTTACACACACCTACACACAACAACAACCGCCATTCGCCACTAAGTGGCGGTGACGTCACCACGACGCTTGTGCCAGGCTATGTGCACCCTGATGCCACGTGAAGTGTCGAACGCTCGCTGGCAGGAGGTCACGGGGCAGACCCAGGTGCCACGGGTCGACTGACTGAGATGACTGGCTGATGCACCACCTGTGCCCCCTACTGTGCCAATCTGCTGTGCTTTAGCCACCCGGTGCTCCGCTCGTTGTTGTGAGCGTCGCTCCTCCGTCCTCCGTTGTTGTTGGAGGGCGACTACCTCCAACTGCCCAGTAGCATCCTTCACGAGCCTCCTCCACAGAGGCCGATCTTGACACCGCTGGTACCAGTCATCGGCAAGTCCACTCAGCTCCACGTCCTCCTGTACCACTTTGCCCCCTCAATCCGGCCGAACAAAACCTGTTTCGGCATGCGGTGGCTTGGCATGCGGGCTACATGACCCAGCCATCGGAGCCTTGCCCGCCGGAGGAGCTCACCGATGGGACCCTGCCCAGATCTTTCAAGGATTTGTGAGCTCCTCAAACAATCCAGTCTGGTTAAACCCAGAATGGATCGTAGGCAGGCCAGCCTAAATGTTTCTAACCGGCGAAGATGTTCCATTAGGGGGGTCCACGTTTCGCAAGCATAGAGAAGGGAGGGAATGACCGTGGCCGAGAAGACCTGAAGCTTAGTGCGGAGCGACAGACCAGGTAGCTTCCACACAGCGTTACGCAACCGATGAAAAGATATTGCCGCTCGACTGATTCGGAGTGAGACCTCTGCTGTTAAACTGGAGCCAGTCATAAGCACACTGCCCAGGTATGGGAAACTCTCCACTCTCTCCACAACTGCCCCATCACCGATCGGGAGTTGTGGGTGTGTAGTGTCCGATGGTACAAAATACCCAGGCAGGTGCTTAGTTTTGGTGGGGCTGATGGTAAGGCCCCACCTCTTAGTGGCACGCTCCAGTCTCAACAGCAGCGTCTCCAACTCCTCCTCTGACTGAGCAGCTATTACCAAATCATCAGCATACATAACGTGGTTGAGCAATAGGGAGCCATCCCTTGACCGCACCCGGGCATCGATCAGCCTCCCATTATATCTGTACCATATGGAGATTCCCCCGGTACAGCTATTGAAGGCTTCACGAACTACGTGGTCAAAATAGATGTTAAATAATGTGGGAGCCAGAGGACATCCCTGTCGCACCCCAAGGTGTACAGGGAATGGCTCTGACTCCCGGCCACGTAGTTTTACCCGGGCCCGCTCACCATCATGAAGGTCCTTAATGATCGTGAGCAGAGGGTCAGGTACTCCAAAAGCACGAAGAACAACCCAGAGCCCAGGCCTACTGATGGTATCATAGGCCTTGATCAGGTAAATAAAGCAACGATGTAGGTCTTGTTGGAATTCCCTACACCTCTGCTGTAACAGACGGACAGAAAATATGGCATCTGTGCAGGACCGCCCTTTCCTGAAACCGCATTGGGGCTCCGCAAGTCTCTCCTCAGCGTGCCTGGCAAGGCGATGCTGAATAATCCTTATCAGGACCTTTCCCGACACACTGAGGAGTGATATGCCCCTGTAGTTGTTACAGTCTGTGCGGTCCCCCTTCTTAAAGAGGGGGACCACCAGGGCATCCTTCCAATCCTGCGGAACCCATCCAGTGGTCCAGACTGTTGTTATGATCTCATGTAGGGTAGTCTGTGCACAAACGCCACCCTCCCTCAGCATTTTGCTTGGGAGATCATCTCTGCCCGCTGCCTTTCCTGGTCTCAGACTCCGGATCGCCTTCAATGCTTCCTCAGCAGATGGCACCCCAGCCAGCCACTCACAGGGGGTGACTTCTTCCAATATTTGAGGCACCACAGCCTCAGCAGGGTCATCCTCACCTTGTGCTACGATGTTTTCCTGGCTGTGGGATTTTCCCTCCCCCAGGACCTCACAGAAATGCTCAGCAAATCTGCGAACCTGTTCCTTGGGGTCGGAGATTGGATCACCGTTTTTTCCCCTAATGATGGTAATAGGTGTGGCGCTGCAGGTTACTTTTTTGATGGAGTTAAATAGAGATTTGTGATCCCGGGCCACTGAGGCACACTCCATCTCCTCAGCAACACGCGACCACCACCCATGCTTGCAGCGCCTCACGGCTCTCCGAACCTCCGAGCGAAGGCTGCGGTAAGCCTCCTCATTCTCTGACGTGGGATTCTGTAGCTGATGACAGTGGGCCTGTCGCTTTTTCTCAACCATCCTGAACACCTCCTCTGTCAGCCAGGGTCTCTGGGGAGGTCTGGACCGCGTACCCAAAGCAGCCATTGCAGCTGCATGAGTCACAGTCCTAAACCTCGCCCATTTACCCTCGACATCAGGAGGAGTCGGGGACGATGCCAATCCCAGCCGCAAGCGATGATGAAATTCTCGCTTGCAACTTTCATCAGATAACTGAGACCAGGCCACTTTATGTTGGAATGGGGTCCTGGGTGTACACCCACCACCGGAGTGGAAGAATGGCAGGCGCATCTTACAGATGACTAGTCGATGGTCAGAGGGCAGATCAGCTCCACGGTAGGTCCTGGTGTCAAGGACATGGGCTCGCATTCGCTGGTCCGTCACTATGTAGTCCAGCAGATGTTCTTGCTTGGACCCGGCATGCATCCATGATGTTGTGTGGATGTGCCGATGCCGGAACAGCGTGTTGGTAATTACAAGCCCATGGGCTGCACAAAAATCTAGCAGCCTCCTACCGTTGTTATTGAGCTGATCTGGCCCATGCCCTCCAATCACTCCAGACCAGGTGCCAGTATCATGACCAACTCGGGCATTGAAGTCACCCAACATGATGACTCTATCCCGAGGGGCCACTTTAGCCAGCACCTGTGACAGGAGGTCATAGAAGGCATCTGACTCATCGGCTTTGCCTGCATCCCTCCACGGATGTTCATTTTCGGTGGGGGCATAAGTAACCACGACCACCATTCCTCGCCTCCGGTTGATGGGAAGGCGAGCCCAAAGTAGCCTGGGGCTTACAGCTTCCCACACCTCACCGCCACGCTCCCACGCCCCCTTCATTCTTACACACCTACACACACCTACACACATACCTACACACACACACATACACACCAACACCACCGGGGGGGAGGGGGGGGCGGTGGTGTGAGAGGCATCCTGTGTGCGTGCACCTGGCGAACAGCATTTGCCCCAGCACGTCTGTTGAAGGCTACGCGGGGGAGCTTTGTCTTTGTTGTGCGCGTGTCCCAGCTGCAGGGCGGAGTGTCCAGCATGCGACCACGCCACCTGTGTGAGAAGGAGGGGAGCGTGCAGAAGATACTCAGGTGAGGCTCCTCACTCACACTCACTAACTCACACTCACTCACACTCATACACTCACACTCACTCACACTCACTCACTCACACTCACTCACACTCACTCACACGCACTCACTCACACTCACTCACTCACACTCACTCACACTCACTCACACTCACCCACTCACTCACTCACACTCACTCACACTCACTCATCCACTCATCCATACTCACAACAACAACAACCGCCATTCCCCACTAAGTGGCGGTGACGTCACCACGACGCTTGTGCCAGGCCATGGGCACCTTGAAGCCACGTGAAGTGTCGAACGCCCGTGGGCAGGAGGTCACGGGGCAGACCCAGGTGCCACGGGTCGACTGACTGAGATGACTGGCTGATGCACCACCTATGCCCCCTACTGTGCCAACCTGCTGTGCTTTAGCCACCCTGCGCTCTCGGCTCGTTGTTGTGAGCGTCGTTCCTCCGCCCTCCGTTGTTGTTGGAGGGCGACTGCCTCCAACTGCCCAGCAGCGTCCTTCACGAGCCTCCTCCACAGAGGCCGATCTTGACACCGCTGGTACCAGTCATCGGCAAGTCCACTCAGCTCCCCGTCCTCCTGTACCACATCACTCCAACTCTTCTCCCACCCGCGCCCGTTTAGCCCCCTCGATCCGGCCGAACAATAGCTGTTTCGGCATGCGGTGGCTGGGCATACCGGCTACATGGCCCAGCCAACGCAGCCTTGCCTGCCGGAGGAACTCACCGATGGGACCGTGCCCAGATCTTCCCGCATTCACTCACCCACACTGACTCACTCTCACTCGCCCACACTCACTCACACTCACCCACACTCACTCACACTCACCCACACTCACCCACTAGGGGGGTCTGTCTCACTGTGGGACAATTCGCCTCTACCCCCCCTCACCCCACCCCCTGTGCCTCACCCCCCAATTTCCCCCCCCCCTACACTTTTACCCCCTCCCTCAGCCCCCACTTTCTCCCCTCTTACAACCCCCCCTGCCCCCCCTCTCCCCCCCCTTTCCCCCCCTTCCCCCCCTCCCCCGCGTTTCCCCCTCCCCCCACCCCCTGATTCCCCACTTTTACCCCCTCACTTATTTACCTCCCCTCGCCCCTCCCACGCGTGACGTCATCAGGGCGTGTATCACTTCTCTACCACGCCCCTCCCACGTGTGACGTCGTCAGGGCGCGTATCACTTCTCTACCACGCCCCTCACACGTGTGACGTCGTCAGGGCGTGTATCACTTCTCTACCACGCCCCTCCCATATGTGACGTCATCAGGGCGTGGTATCTCTTTTCTAACACGCCCCTCCCACGTGTGATGTCATCAGGGCGTGTATCACTTCTCTACCACGCCCCTCCCACGTGTGACGTCGTCAGGGCGCGTATCACTTCTCTACCACGCCCCTCCCACGTGTGACGTCGTCAGGGCGTGTATCACTTCTCTACCACGCCCCTCCCACATGTGACGTCGTCAGGACGTGGATCACTTCTCTACCACGCCCCTCCCACGTGTGACGTCGTCAGGGCGTGTATCACTTCTCTACCACGCCCCTCCCACGTGTGACGTCATCAGGGCGTGTATCACTACTCTACCACGCCCCTCCCACGTGTGACGCCATCAGGGCGTGTGTCACTTCTCTACTATGCCCCTCCCACGTGTGACGTCGTCAGGGCGTGTATCACTTCTCTACTATGCCCCTCCCACGTGTGACGTCATCAGGGCGTGTATCACTTCTCTACTATGCCCCTCCCACGTGTGACGTCATCAGGGCGTGTATCGCTTCTGTACTATGCCCCTCCCACGTGTGACGTCATCAGGGCGTGTATCCGCCAGCGCGTGATGAGCGGCTCCCTGGACGGGCAGCCACCCAAGGAGCGCTCCATCCTGGGGGTGCAGCACCACATCCGGCAGGAGCGCCGGTGACCACCCCCCACCCACGTGACCACCCACGCGACCACCCCACGCGGTCACCCACGTGACCACCCCACGCGGTCACCCACACGACCACCCACGCGACCACCCCACGCGGTCACCCACGCGGTCACCCACGTGACCACCCCACGCGGTCACCCACACGAACACCCACGCGACCACCCACGCGGTCACCCACGCAGTCACCCATGTGACCACCCACGTGGTCACCCACACGACCACCCACGCGGTCACCCACGCGGTCACCCAAACGACCACCCACGCGGTCACCCACGCGGTCACCCACACAACCACCCACACGACCACCCACGTGACCACCCACGCGGTCACCCACGCGGTCACCCACGCGGTCACCCCACACGACCACCCCACACGACCACCCCACACGACCACCCACACGACCACCCACGCGGTCACCCACGCACAGGGGTGAGGGAAATGAGTGTGGGGGTGCGTGGGGGTGTCACCACGTGTCTCCCCCTTGTCCTTGTGTCCCCGTCTCTCACCCCCTCCCCCGTGTCCCCACCCCCGTGTCCCCCCCCTCCCGTGTCCCCCCCCCCCCGTGTCCCCCTCCCCCGTGTCCCCCCCCCCCATGTTCCCCCTCCCCCGTGTCCCCCCCCGTGTCCCCACCCCCCTCCCCCGTGTCCCCCCCCGTGCCCCCACCCCCCCCGTGTCCCCCCCCGTGTCCCCCCCCGTGTCCCCCCCCGTCCTCCCCCGTGTCCCCCCCCGTGCCCCCCCTCGTGTCCCCCCCCCCCCCCCCGCTCTGCAGGTCTCTCCGCCACGGCTCAAACAGCCAGAGGATCAACCATGGCAAGTCCATGGAGAGTCTCCCCCATGACGTGAGACACGAGGGGGGGGGGACACGGGGGGAGGACACGAGGGGGGGGGGACACGGGGGGGGGACACGGGGGGGGACACCGGGGGGGGACACGGGGGGGGACACGGGGGGGGGCACACACACAGATATGGGGACATGGATACACGGGGACATGGAGACATGGGGACAAAGGGACAAGGGGACATGGGGACACGGGGACTGGGGGGACTGGGGGGACACGGAGACATGGAGACACGGAGACACGGAGACACGGGGATATGGAGACACGGGGATATGGAGACACGGGGATATGGAGACACGGGGGGAGACACGGGGTCGCAGCGACACGGGGACATGGGGGCATCGATGTAAAGAGACACGGGGACATGGAGACACGTGGGTATCGATACGCAGAGACACGGAGACACGGGGGGACACGGGAGACACGGGGGGCATACGGGGGACACACGGAGACACGGGGGCATCGGTATACAGAGACACAGAGGCATGGGGACACGGGGACATGGATACGCAGAGACACGGAGACATGGGGGGACACGGACACACGGTGTATGTGTACTGGTGTCCGTGTGTACGTATACTTGCGTGCATGTGTGCGTACGTGTGTGTACGCGTATGTGTGCGTGCATGTACATGTGCGTATGTATGTGCCTGCGTGTGTGTGTACATGTGCGTACGTGTGTGTACGTTTGTACGTGTACACGTGTGTACATGTATGACCGTGTGTACGTGTACATGTGTGTGTGTGCATGTACGTGTGTGTGTGCGTGCGCGTGCGTGTGTGCGTGCGTGTACATGTGCGTGTGTGTGCACCTTAGTGCGTGTGTGCGTACACGTGTGTACATGTGCGTACGTGTGTACGTGTACACGTGTGTATGTGCGTGTGCGTGTGTGAGCAGCACGCGACGGCGATCCGCTACCGGAACTCTCAGAAGGAGGACAGCGAGATCAAGATGATCCAGGAGAAGAAGGAGCAGGCAGAGCTGAAACGGTGGACACACTCGCACACACGCACACACACGCACACACACACACACGCACACACACACACGTACACACACACACGCGCACGCATACACGCGCACGCACACACACGTACACACGCAACACACGTACACACACACGCAACACGTACACGCACACGTACGCGCATGCACACACACACACACGCGCACACACACACTCGCACACACACACTCGCACACACGCACTCGAACACGCGCACACGCGCACACACACACGCGCACACAACACACGCACACAACACACGTACACACACGTGCACGCACACGTACGTACGTACACGCGCACGCACACACACGCTCACACACACACAGGCACGCACACACGCACGCACACACAGGTACACCAGCAGGAACGAGTTCATGGACCTGCACAGACACATACACGCGTACACATGCACACACACGCGTGCGTATGTAGCGTCGGCAATGCACATCGTATACCGTCCATATACACACTCACCTGCAGTTGCGGGCACAGGCCCTTAGCGGCTGCCACCATGAGCTGGGCAAGGTCGGAGAGAACCGGACCGTTGAGGGGCCGGGTTCCTCCCGCCCCCCCCCCAGACCCCAGGTGAGGGGTTTGGGGGGTTCTGGAAGGTTCCAGAGAGGGGGTGGAGAGTCCCCGGGAGGTGTACAAAAGGGGCACCTCAAGCACAGCTCGGGGGAGCGTTCCGAAGACAAAGAAGAGAGACCAGCCTAGCTAGGACCCTGGGAACCCGCGACCCGACGTCCTTGCAAGGGCCGGGGCCGAACGCGGACCAGTGGTCAGAACCCGCACCTTGGCTGGGGTCGGGTCAGAGTAGCTTCCCCTAAGAATGAAGGGGGCGTGGGAGCGTGGCGGTGAGGTGTGGGAAGCTGTAAGCCCCAGGCTACTTTGGGCTGGCCTTCCCATCAGACGGAGGCGAGGAGTGGCGGTCGTGGTTACTTATGCACCCACCGAAGACGAACATCCGTGGAGGGATGCAGGCAAGGCCGATGAGTCAGATGCCTTGTATGACCTCCTGTCACAGGTGCTGGCTGAAGTGGCCCCTCGGGATAGAGTCATCTTGTTGGGTGACTTCAATGCCCGAGTTGGTCATGATGCTGGCACCTGGTCTGGAGTGATTGGAGGGCATGGGCGAGATCAGCTCAATAACAACTGTAGGAGGCTGCTAGATTATTGTGCAGCCCATGGGCTTGTAATTACCAACACGCTGTTCCGGCATCGGCGCATCCACACCACATCATGGATGCATGCCGCGTCCAAGCAAGAACATCTGCTGGACTACATAGTGACGGACTAGCGGATGCGAGCCCCTGTCCTTGACACCAGGACCTTCCGTGGAGCTGATCTGCCCTCTGACGATCGACTAGTCATCTGTAAGATGCGCCTGCCATTCTTCCACTCTGGTGGTGGGTGTACACCAAGGACCCCATTCCAACCTAAAGTGGCCTGGTCTCAGCTAGCTGATGGAAGTTGCAAGCGAGAATTTCATAATCTCTTGCAGCCTGGGGTTGGCATCGTCCCCCACTCCTCCTGATGTCGAGGGTAAATGGGCGAGGTTTAGGACTGTGACTTATGCAGCTGCAATGGCTGCTTTGGGTACGTGGTCCAGACCTCCCCAGAGACTCTGGCTGACAGAGGAGGTGTTCAGGATGGTTGAGAGAAAACGACAGGCCCACTCTAATCGTCTACAGCATCCCACGTCAGAGAATGAGGAGGCTTACCGCAGCCTGCTCTCGGAGGTTTGGAGAGCCGTGAGGCGCTGCAAGGAAGGGTGGTGGTCGCGGGTTGCTGAGGACATGGAGTCTGCCTCAATGGTCCGCGATCACAAATACCTATTTACCATCAAAAAGTAACCTGCAGCACCACACCTATTTCCATCATTAGGGGGAAAGACGGTGATCCAATCTCCGACCCCCAGGAACAGGTTTGCAAATTTGCTGAACATTTCTGTGAGGTTCTGGGGGAGGGGGAATCCCTCAGCCAGGAAAACATTATGGGACAAAGTGGGGATGACCCTGCTGAGGCTTGTGGTGCCTCAAATATTGGAGGAGGAAGTCAGCCCCTGTGAGTGGCTGGCTGAGGTGCCATCCGTTGAGGAAGTACTGAAGGCGATCCAGAGTCTGAGACCAGGAAAGGCGCCGGGCAGAGATGATCTCCCAAGCGAAATGCTGAGGGAGGGTGGCGTTTGTGTGAAGACTGCCCTACATGACATTAAAAGAACAGTCTGGGCAACTGGAGGGGTTCCGTAGGATTGGAAGGATGCCCTGGTGGTCCCCCTCTTTAAGAAGGCGGACTGCACAGACTGTAACGACTATGGGGGCATCCCACTCCTCATTGTGCCGGGAAAGGTCCTGGCAAGGATTATTCAACATCGCCTTGCCAGGCATGCTGAGGAGAGGCTTGCGGAGCACCAATGCAGATTCAGGAAAAGGCGGTCCTGCACAGATGCCATATTTTCTGTCCATCTGCTACAGCAGAGGTGTAGGGAATTCCCACAAGACCTACATCTCTGCTTTATTGACCTGGTCAAGGCCTATGATACCATCAGTAGGCCTGGTCTCTGGGTTGTTCTTCGTGCTTTTGGAGTCCCTGACCCTCTGCTCACGATCATTAAGGACCTTCATGATGGTGAGCGGGCCCGGGTAAAACTACGTGGCCGGGAGTCAGAGCCATTCCCTGTACACCTTGGGGTGCGACACGGATGTTCTCTGGCTCCCACATTATTTAACATCTATTTTGACCACGTAGTTCGTGAAGCCTTCAATAACTGTACCGGGGGAATCTCCATTTGGCACAGATATAAAGGGAGGCTGATCAAACCATGAAGAAGGACCCTCTTGAGGAGCCTTTCAAAACCATCACTTTACCCTACATTGCGGGGATCACAAAAAAGATCTCCAAAATCTGGAATAAACACAAGATCCAGGTCCGTTTCAACACATTACATAAAATCCGTGATCTGGTTCCGTCTGTAAAAGATGTGATTCCGGACCTACAGTATCCTGGTGTCTACAAACTAAGTTGCCTCTGTGGTAGTAGTTACATTGGAGAAACCAAACGCCATGTCTCGGACCGCATTCGTGAACACAAAGCAGACCTTAAACACGGTAGGACCAACACCTCGGCCGTGGCAGATCATTGTTATAATTCAGTAGGCTCACATGACATTGACTTTTCCAAGACAGAGGTTATTTGTAAGCCATCTGGCTACCATGAGAGATTCGTTCATGAGGCTATCCACATATACAAGCACAGAGACAATTTCAACCGAGAAGATGGATTCTGGCTTAGCAATCATTGGAAAGATTTGATTAACCATTTTAGGTCTTAATTGATTGGTCACGCTTTCAGTGGCTTTCAGACAACATACATTAATTTTTCGTCTCCCCCCTCCTCTTTTCAGAACATAGATGGACTAGTCCTTCTAAATAAACTGCCAAATCGCTGCGCGTGGCGCTGACGTTTTTTCATAAGTAAAAAAACCGTTTTTAAAATAAATAAATAAATGCGAACCGACACACCTGATGACGACCGTTTGTGTTATGGTCGAAACGTCGTGAGATTTTTTTGTTATTTTATATATTTTATTATTTTATTGTTTCCCTTCAACGTGACTTTACCGAAACAGCTAAGAATATGAATTACTGCAGTCACGAAAGCTTTAAATCAAAATAGCTGCTCATTCAGAGGAGGAGTTGGAGACACTGCTGCTGAGACTGGAGCATGCCACTAAGAGATGGGGCCTTGCCATCAGCCTCACCAAAACTAAGCACCTGCCTGGGTATTTTGTACCATCGCACACTCCACCCCCACAACTCCCAATAGGTGATGGACCCCCCTAATGGAACATCTTCACCGGTTAGAAACATTTAGGCTAGCCTGCCTATGACCCATCCTAGGTTTAACCAGGCTGGATTGTATGAGGAGCTCACAAATCTTTGAAAGATCTGGGCAAGGTCCCATCGGTGAGCTCCTCCGGCAGGCAAGGCTGCGTTGGCTGGGTCATGTAGCCCGCATGCCCAGCCACCGCATGACGAAACAGCTTTTGTTCGGCCGGAGAGGGGGCTAAACGGGTGCGGCACGGGCTATAGAAGAGATGGAGTGACGTGGAACAGGAGGACGTGGAGCTGAGTGGACTTGCCGATGACTGGTACCAGCAGTGTCAAGATCGGCCTCTGTGGAGGAGGCTCGTGAAGGACGCTACTGGGCAGTTGGAGGTAGTTGCCCTCCAACAACAACGGAGGGCGGAGGAGCGACGCTCACAACAACGAGCGGAGCGCCGGGTGACTAAAACACAGCAGGATGGCACAGTAGGGGGCACAGGTGGTGCATCAGCCAGTCATATCAGTCATCTCAGTCAGTCGACCCGTAGAACTTGGGTCTGCCCCGTGACTTCCTGCCAGCGGGCGTTCGACATGGCCTCAAGGTGCACATGGCCTGGCACAAGCGTCGTGGTGACGTCACCGCCACTTAGTGGCGAATGGCGGTTGTTGGTCTTGTTGTTGTGTCTGTGTGTGTGCAGCAAAGTGCAGGAGGAGGAACTGCGTGAGAACCATCCGTACTTCGACACGCCGCTCTTCCTGGTAGGACGAGAGCATCGCTTCCGCAAGATCTGCAGAGTGGTGGTGCGGGCGCGCTTCAACCTGTACGGAGATCACACAGTCACTCACACAGTCACTCACTTACACAGTCACTCACACAGTCACTCACACAGTCATTCACTCACACACTCACTCACACAATCACTCACTCACACAGTCACTCACTCACACACTCACTCACACAGTCACTCACTTACACAGTCACTCACACAGTCACTCACTTACACAGTCACTCACTTACACAGTCACTCACACAGTCATTCACTCACCCACTCACTCACACACTCACTCACTCACACAGTCACTCACTCACACACTCACTCACTCACTCACACACTCACTCACTCACTCAGACACACAGTCACTCATTCAGACTCACTCACTTACACACTCACTCACTCACACTTGCTCACTCACAGCCACTCACACACTCACGCTCTCTCACACACTCACACAGTCACTCACTCACACTCTCACTCGCTCATTCACACTCACTCACACTCACTCACTCGCTCACTCAGACTTGCTCACTCACACACACTCGCTCACTCGCTCACTCGCTCACTCACTGACTCGCTCGCTCATTCACACTCGTTCACTCACACTCACTCACCCTCACTCGCTCACTCCCACTCGCTAACTCCTACTCACACACTCGCGCGCTCACACTCGCTCACTCACACTTGCTCTCTCACTGACTCGCTCGCTCGCTCACTCACTGACTTGCTTACATTCACGCTCGCGAACTCACACTCACTCACTCGCTCGTTCACTTGCTCGCTCGCACTCAATCACACTTGCTGATTCGCTCACTAACTCACTCACACTCGCTCACTCACTCTCTCACACTCACTCACACTCACACTCTCTCACACTCACTCACACTCGCCTACACTCACTAGATCTGGAGCGGGCACACTGTTGGAGTGGGCACACCATCCTTAGGGGAAAGAACGGTGATCCGATCGCCGATCCACAGGTAGAGGTTTTGCAGATTTGCTGAGCATTTCTGTGAGGTCCTGGCCGAGGGGAAATCCTTCACTCATGAAAACATTATGGGGAAAAGTGGGGATGACCCTGCCGAGGCTGCGGTGCCTCGAATATCGAAAGAAGTTGTCACCCCTTGTGAGTGGCTGGCTGAGGTGCCATCCATTGAGGAAGTACTGAAGGCGATCCAGAGTCTGAGACCAGGAAAAGCCCCGGGCAGAGATGATCTCCTAAGCGAAATGCTGAGGGAGGGTGGCTTTTGTGCGCAGACTGCCCTATATGACATCATAACAACAGTCTGGCCCACTGGATGAGTTCCGCACGATTGGAAGGATGCCCTGGTGGTCCCCCTCTTTAAGAAGAAGGGGGACCGCACAGACTGTAACAACTACAGGGGCATCTCACTCCTCAGTGTGCCGGGAAAGGTCCTGGCAAGGATTATTAAACTTCGCCTGGCTAGGCACGCTGAGGAGAGGCTTGCGGAGCCCCAATGTGGTTTCAGGCCAGGGCGGTCCTGCACAGATGCCATATTTTTTGTATGTTTGCTACAGCAGCGGTGTAGGGAATTCCAACAAAACCTACATCTCTGCTTTAGTGACCTGGTCAAGGCCTATGATACAATCAATAGGCCAAGGCTCTGGGTTGTTCTTCATGCTTTCGGAGTCCCTGACTCTCTGATCGCTATCATTAAGGACCTTCATGATGGTGAGCGGGCCCGGGTAGAACTACATGGCCGGGAGTCGGAGCCATTCCCTGTTCACCTTTGGGTGCAACAGGGATGACCTCTGGCTCCCACATTATTTATCATATATTTTTTACCACGTTGTTCAAGAAGCCTTCCATGGATGTACCGGAGGAATCTCCATCTGGTACAGATACAATGGGAGGCTGATCGATGCCCGGGTGCGGTCGAGGGATATTGGTCAACCACGTTACGTATGCCGATGATCTGGTGATTGCTGCTCACTTAGAGGAAGTGCCACTGCTGAACCTGGAGCTTGCCACTAAGAGGTGGGGCCTTATCATGAGCCCAACCAAAACTAAGCACCTCCCTGGATATTTTATGCCATCAAACTCTCCACCTCCTCAACTCCCAATTGGTGATGTGGCAGTTATGGAGTGGAAAGTTTCCCATACCTGAACAGTGTGCTCATGACCAGCTCCGGTTTGACAGCAGAGGTCTCACTACGAATCAGTCGAGCGGCAATATCTTTTCATCGGTTGCGTAAAGCTGTGTGGAAGCTACCTGGTCTGTCACTCCGCACTAAGCTTCGGGTCTTCTCAGCCACGGTCATTCCCTCCCTTCTCTACGCTTGCGAAACGTGGACCCCCCTAATGGAACATCTTCGCCGGTTAGAAACATTTAGGCTGGCCTGCCTACGATCTATCCTGGGTTTAACCAAGCTGAATTGTGTGAGGAGCTCACAAATCCTTGAAAGATCTGGGCAAGGTCCCATCGGTGAGCTCCTACTGCAGGCAAGGCTGCGTTGGCTGGGTCATGTAGCCCGCATGCCCAGCCACCGCATGCCGAAACAGCTTTTGTTCGGCCGGATCGAGCGATGCTCACAACAACGAGCGGAGCTCTGGGTGGCTAAAACACAGCAAGTTGGCACAGTACGGGGCACAGTACGGGGCACAGGTGGTGCATCGGCCAGTCGTCTCAGTCGACCCTTGGCACCTGGGTCTGTCCCGTGACCTCCTGCCAGCGGGCGTTCGACACTTCACGTGGCCTCAACGTGCACATGGCCTAGCACAAGCGTCGTGGTGACGTCACCGCCACTTAGTGGCGAATGGCGGTTGTTGTTGTTGTTGTGTGTGTACGTGTACATCTGTGTGTGTGTGTGTACGTGTCTGTGTGTGTGTATGTAGGCTAACAACCGACCCGGTCACAGGAGCGGTTAAGCACACGCGCTACCACCAGCTGTAGTGAGTAACACGCACGACAACCACTCTGTGTCCCTCTCTCCGAGTCGGCCATAGGTCCACTCAGCCTTAAAACTAATACCCGGTGTGGTATGCACGTGTGTGTGTGTGATACACATCAACACTGGGGGGAAGACAAAGATGGCCGGGGAGCGGGCATGGTGCTCTTTATAGGCGCTGCTGCTACTCGCTACTCACAGCACTTGCCCCTACAGTCTGTTAGAGGCTACACGGGGGATTTTTGTCTGTGTCTACCTTCACAGGCGCTGCTGCTACTCGCTACTAACAGCACTTGCCCCTGCAGTCTGTTAGAAGCTACACGGGGGATCTTTGTCTGTGTCTACCTTCATAGGCGCTGCTGCTACTCGCTACTCACAGCACTTGCCCCTACAGTCTGTTAGAGGCTACATGGGGGACCTTTGTCCGTGTCTACCTTCATAGGCGCTGCTGCTACACGCTACTCACAGCACTTGCCCCTACAGCCTGTTAGAGGCTACACGGGGGACCTTTGTCCGTGTCTACCTTCACAGGTGCTGCTGCTACTCGCTACTCACAGCACTTGCCCGTACAGTCTGTTAGAGGCTACACGGGAGATCTTTGTCTGTGTCTACCTTCATAGGTGCTGCTGTTACTCGCTACTTACAGCACTTGCCCCTACAGTCTGTTAGAGACTATACGGGGGACCTTTGTCGTGTCTACCTTCACAGGCGCTGCTGGTACTCGCTACTCACAGCACTTTCCCCTGCAGTCTGTTAGAGGCTACACGGGGGACCTTTGTCTGTGTCTACCTTCACAGGTGCTGCTGCTACTCGCTACTCACAGCACTTGCCCCTACAGTCTGTTAGAGGCTACACAGGGGACCTTTGTCTGTGTGTGTAGGTGCTGCTACTCACTACTAACAACACTTGCCCCTAGTCTGTTAGAGGCTACCTGGGGGACCTTTGTCTGTGTGTGTGTGCGTTCCAGTGAGCTCATGGGCCTGGTGACGTACCTGGACTGGGTGATGATCGTGGTCACCATCACCTCCTGCGTCTCCATCATGTTCGAGTCTCCCTACCTCCTCGTCATGAGGTCTCCCATGCTGCAGGTGGGTGGGGTTAGGGGTGGGGTTAGGGGTGTGGTTAGGGGTGTGGTTAGGGGTGGGGTTAGGGGTGTGGTTAAGGGTGGGGTTAGGGGTGTGGTTAGGGGTGTGGTTAGGGGTGGGGTTGGGGGTGGGGTTGGGGGTGGGGTTAGGGGTGTGGTTAGGGGTGTGGTTAGGGGTGGGGTTGGGGGTGAGGGTGGGGGTGGGGTTGGGGGTGTGGTTAGGGGTGTGGTTAAGGGGGGGGTTTGGGGTGTGGTTAAGGGTGGGGTTAGGGGTGTGGTTAGGGGTGTGGTTAAGGGTGGATTAGGGGTGGGGTTAGGGGTGAGGTTGGGGTTGGGGGTGGGGTTGGGGTTGGGGTTGGGGTTAGGGGTGGGGTTATGGGTGGGATTAGGGGTGGGGTTAGGTGGGTTGGGGTTAGAGGGGGTTTGGGTTAGGGGGGTTGGGGTTAGGTGGGTTGGGGTTAAGGGTGTGGTTAGGGGTTTGGGTTAGGGGTGGGGTTAGGGGTGGGGTTAGGGGTGGGGTTGGGGGTGTGCTTAGGGGTGGGGTTAGGGGGGTTGGGGTTAGGGGTGGGGTTAGGGGTGGGGTTAGGGGTGGGGTTAGGGGTGGGGTTAGGGGTGGAGTTTGGGGTGGGGTTGGGGGTGTGGTTAGGGGTGGGGTTAGGGGGGTTGGGGTTATGGGTGGGGTTAGGGGTGTGGTTATGGGTGGGGATGGGGGTGGGGTTGGGGGTGGGGGTGGGGGGGTGGTTAGGGGTGTGGTTAAAGGTGGGGTTAGGGGTGTGGTTAAGGGTGGGGTTAGGGGTGGGGTTAGGGGTGGGGTTGGGGGTGGGGTTGGGGTTGGGGTTAGGGGTGGGGTTAGGGGTGGGGTTATGGGTGGGGTTAGGGGTGGGGTTAGGGGTGTGGTTAGGGGTTTGGGTTAGGGGGGTTGGGGTTAGGGGTGGGGTTAGGGGTGGGGTTAGGGGTGGGGTTGGGGGTGTGGTTAGGGGTGGGGTTAGGGGGGTTGGGGTTAGGGGTGGGGTTAGGGGTGGGGTTAGGGGTGGGGTTTGGGGTGGGGTTGGGGGTGTGGTTAGGGGTGGGGTTAGGGGGGTTGGGGTTATGGGTGGGGTTAGGGGTGGGTTTAGGGGTGGGGTTTGGGGTGGGGTTTGGGGTGGGGTTAGGGGTGTGGTTTGGTGGTGGGGTTATGGGTGGGGTTAGAGGGGGGTTGGGTTAGGGGGGTTGGGGTTAGGTGGGTTGGGGTTAGGGGTGTGGTTAGGGGTTTGGGTTAGGGGTGGGTTAGGGGTGGGGTTAGGGTGGGGTTAGGGTGGGTTGGGGTTAGGGGTGGGGTTAGGGGTGGGGTATGGATGGGGTTAGGTGGGTTGTGGTTAGAGGAGGTTGGGGTTAGGGTTAGGGGTGTGGTTAGGGGTGGGGTTATGGGTGGGGTTAGAGGGGGTTTGGGTTAGGGGGGTTGGGGTTAGGTGGGTTGGGGTTAGGGGTGTGGTTAGGGGTTTGGGTTAGGGGTGGGGTTATAGGTGGGGTTAGGGGTGGGGTTACGGGTGGGGTTAGGGTGGGTTGGGGTTAGGGGTGGGGTTAGGGGTGGGGTTATGGGTGGGGTTAGGGGTGTGGTTAGGGGTGTGGTTAGGGGTGGGGTTAGGGGTGTGGTTAAGGGTGGGGTTAGGGGTGTGGTTAGGGGTGTGGTTAGGGGTGGGGTTGGGGGTGGGGTTGGGGGTGGGGTTAGGGGTGTGGTTAGGGGTGTGGTTAGGGGTGGGGTTGGGGGTGGGGGTGGGGTTGGGGGTGTGGTTAGGGGTGTGGTTAAGGGTGGGGTTAGGGGTGTGGTTAAGGGTGGGGTTAGGGGTGTGGTTAGGGGTGTGGTTAAGGGTGGATTAGGGGTGGGGTTAGGGGTGAGGTTGGGGTTGGGGGTGGGGTTGGGGTTAGGGGTGGGGTTAGGGGTGGGGTTATGGGTGGGATTAGGGGTGGGGTTAGGTGGGTTGGGGTTAGAGGGGGTTGGGGTTAGGGTTGTGTAAAGGTCCGTGTTTCCCTCTGCGTCCCCCTCTGCATCCCCCCATCACTTCATGTGACACCGCGTGACCCCGCATGACCTCGTGTCTACCCCCCGTGACCCAACAATGACCCTTCGTGACCCCACATGAACCCGTGACCCCATGCCCCTCGCGTGACCCCACCTGACCCACCGTGACCTCGTGACCCCGCCAGGTGACCGAGTACATCTTCGTGATCTTCATGAGCGTGGAGCTGCTGCTGAAGATCCTGGCGGACGGCCTCTTCTTCACGCCCACGGCCATCATCAAGGACTTCGGCGGGGTCATGGACATCTTCATCTACCTGGTACCCTCTCACCTACCCTGCTACCCCCTCACTCTCATGCCTGGTACCCCCTCACCTACCCTGCCACCCCCTCACTCTCATGCCTGGTACCCCTGACCTACCCTGCTACCACCCTCACTCTCATACCTGGTACCCCCTCACCTACCCTGCTACCCCCTCACTCTCATGCCTGGTACCCCCTCACCTACCCTGCTACCCCCTCACCTACCCTGCTACCCCCTCACCTACCCTGCTACCCCCTCACTCTCATACCTGGTACCCCCTCACCTACCCTGCTACTACCCTCACTCTCATGCCTGGTACCCCCTCACCTACCCTGCTACCCCCTCACTCTCATACCTGGTACCCCCTCACCTACCCTGCTACCACCCTCACTCGGCTACCCTGGTTCCCATGGACATCTTGGTCTTGCTGGTACAGGCTGGGTGTGAGTCTGTGTCTCAGGCTGGGTGTGAGTCTGTGTCTCAGGCTGGGTGTGAGTCCGTGTCTTAGGCTGGGTGTGAGTCTATGTCTCAGGCTGGGTGTGAGTCTGTGTCTCAGGCTGGGTGTGAGTCCGTGTCTCAGGCTGGGTGTGAGTCTGTGTCTCAGGCTGGCTGTGAGTCTGTGTCTCAGGCTGGGTGTGAGTCTGTGTATCAGGCTGGCTGTGAGTCCGTGTCTCAGGCTGGGTGTGAGTCTGTGTCTCAGGCTGGGTGTGAGTCTGTGTCTCAGGCTGGGTGTGAGTCTGTGTCTCAGGCTGGCTGTGAGTCTGTGTCTCAGGCTAGGTGTGAGTCTGTGTCTCAGGCTGGGTGTGAGTCTGTGTCTCAGGCTGGGTGTGAGTCTGTGTCTCAGGCTGGGTGTGAGTCTGTGTCTCAGGCTGGGTGTGAGTCTGTGTCTCAGGCTGGCTGTGAGTCTGTGTCTCAGGCTGGGTGTGAGTCTGTGTCTCAGGCTGGGTGTGAGTCTGTGTCTCAGGCTGGGTGAGTCTATCTCAGGCTGGGTGTGAGTCTGTGTCTCAGGCTGGGTGTGAGTCTGTGTCTCAGGCTGGGTGTGAGTCTGTGTCTCAGGCTGGGTGAGTCTGTGTCTCAGGCTAGGTGTGAGTCTGTGTCTCAGGCTGGGTGTGAGTCCGTGTCTCAGGCTGGGTGTGAGTCTGTGTCTCAGGCTGGGTGTGAGTTTGTGTCTCAGGCTGGGAAAGTCTGTGTCTCAGGCTAGGTGTGAGTCTGTGTCTCAGGCTGGGTGTGAGTCCGTGTCTCAGGCTGGGTGTGAGTCTGTGTCTCAGGCTGGCTGTGAGTCTGCGTCTCAGGCTGGGTGAGTCTGTGTCTCAGGCTGGGTGTGAGTCTGTGTCTCAGGCTGGGTGTGAGTCTGTGTCTCAGGCTGGGTGTGAGTCTGTGTCTCAGGCTGGGTGTGAGTCCGTGTCTCAGGCTGGGTGTGAGTCTGTGTCTCAGGCTGGCTGTGAGTCTGTGTCTCAGGCTGGGTGTGAGTCTGTGTATCAGGCTGGCTGTGAGTCCGTGTCTCAGGCTGGGTGTGAGTCTGTGTCTCAGGCTGGGTGTGAGTCCGTGTCTCAGGCTGGGTGTGAGTCTGTGTCTCAGGCTGGCTGTGAGTCTGTGTCTCAGGCTGGGTGTGAGTCTGTGTCTCAGGCTGGGTGTGAGTCTGTGTCTCAGGCTGGGTGTGAGTCTGTGTCTCAGGCTGGGTGTGAGTCTGTGTCTCAGGCTGGGTGTGAGTCTGTGTCTCAGGCTGGCTGTGAGTCTGTGTCTCAGGCTGGGTGTGAGTCCGTGTCTCAGGCTGGGTGTGAGTCTGTGTCTCAGGCTGGCTGTGAGTCTGTGTCTCAGGCTGGGTGTGAGTCTGTGTATCAGGCTGGCTGTGAGTCCGTGTCTCAGGCTGGGTGTGAGTCTGTGTCTCAGGCTGGGTGTGAGTCTGTGTCTCAGGCTGGGTGTGAGTCTGTGTCTCAGGCTGGCTGTGAGTCTGTGTCTCAGGCTAGGTGTGAGTCTGTGTCTCAGGCTGGGTGTGAGTCTGTGTCTCAGGCTGGGTGTGAGTCTGTGTCTCAGGCTGGGTGTGAGTCTGTGTCTCAGGCTGGGTGTGAGTCTGTGTCTCAGGCTGGCTGTGAGTCTGTGTCTCAGGCTGGCTGTGAGTCTGTGTCTCAGGCTGGGTGTGAGTCTGTGTCTCAGGCTGGGTGAGTCTATCTCAGGCTGGGTGTGAGTCTGTGTCTCAGGCTGGGTGTGAGTCTGTGTCTCAGGCTGGGTGTGAGTCTGTGTCTCAGGCTGGGTGAGTCTGTGTCTCAGGCTAGGTGTGAGTCTGTGTCTCAGGCTGGGTGTGAGTCCGTGTCTCAGGCTGGGTGTGAGTCTGTGTCTCAGGCTGGGTGTGAGTCTGTGTCTCAGGCTGGGTGAGTCTGTGTCTCAGGCTAGGTGTGAGTCTGTGTCTCAGGCTGGGTGTGAGTCCGTGTCTCAGGCTGGGTGTGAGTCTGTGTCTCAGGCTGGGTGTGAGTTTGTGTCTCAGGCTGGGAAAGTCTGTGTCTCAGGCTAGGTGTGAGTCTGTGTCTCAGGCTGGCTGTGAGTCTGCGTCTCAGGCTGGGTGAGTCTGTGTCTCAGGCTGGGTGTGAGTCTGTGTCTCAGGCTGGGTGTGAGTCTGTGTCTCAGGCTGGGTGTGAGTCTGTGTCTCAGGCTGGGTGTGAGTCCGTGTCTCAGGCTGGGTGTGAGTCTGTGTCTCAGGCTGGCTGTGAGTCTGTGTCTCAGGCTGGGTGTGAGTCTGTGTATCAGGCTGGCTGTGAGTCCGTGTCTCAGGCTGGGTGTGAGTCTGTGTCTCAGGCTGGGTGTGAGTCTGTGTCTCAGGCTGGGTGTGAGTCTGTGTCTCAGGCTGGCTGTGAGTCTGTGTCTCAGGCTGGGTGTGAGTCTGTGTCTCAGGCTGGGTGTGAGTCTGTGTCTCAGGCTGGGTGTGAGTCTGTGTCTCAGGCTGGGTGTGAGTCTGTGTCTCAGGCTGGGTGTGAGTCTGTGTCTCAGGCTGGCTGTGAGTCTGTGTCTCAGGCTGGGTGTGAGTCTGTGTCTCAGGCTGGGTGTGAGTCTGTGTCTCAGGCTGGGTGTGAGTCTGTGTCTCAGGCTGGGTGTGAGTCTGTGTCTCAGGCTGGGTGAGTCTGTGTCTCAGGCTAGGTGTGAGTCTGTGTCTCAGGCTGGGTGTGAGTCCGTGTCTCAGGCTGGGTGTGAGTCTGTGTCTCAGGCTGGGTGTGAGTTTGTGTCTCAGGCTGGGAAAGTCTGTGTCTCAGGCTAGGTGTGAGTCTGTGTCTCAGGCTGGGTGTGAGTCCGTGTCTCAGGCTGGGTGTGAGTCTGTGTCTCAGGCTGGCTGTGAGTCTGCGTCTCAGGCTGGGTGAGTCTGTGTCTCAGGCTGGGTGTGAGTCTGTGTCTCAGGCTGGGTGTGAGTCTGTGTCTCAGGCTGGGTGTGAGTCTGTGTCTCAGGCTGGGTGTGAGGTCTGTGTCTCAGGCTGGGTGTGAGTCTGTGTCTCAGGCTGGCTGTGAGTCTGTGTCTCAGGCTGGGTGTGAGTCTGTGTATCAGGCTGGCTGTGAGTCCGTGTCTCAGGCTGGGTGTGAGTCTGTGTATCAGGCTGGCTGTGAGTCAGTGTCTCAGGCTGGGTGTGAGTCTGTGTCTCAGGCTGGGTGTGAGTCTGTGTCTCAGGCTGGGTGTGAGTCTGTGTCTCAGGCTGGCTGTGAGTCTGTGTCTCAGGCTGGGTGTGAGTCTGTGTCTCAGGCTGGGTGTGAGTCTGTGTCTCAGGCTGGGTGTGAGTCTGTGTCTCAGGCTGGGTGTGAGTCTGTGTCTCAGGCTGGGTGTGAGTCTGTGTCTCAGGCTGGGTGTGAGTCTGTGTCTCAGGCTGGGTGAGTCTGTGTCTCAGGCTAGGTGTGAGTCTGTGTCTCAGGCTGGGTGTGAGTCCGTGTCTCAGGCTGGGTGTGAGTCTGTGTCTCAGGCTGGGTGTGAGTTTGTGTCTCAGGCTGGGAAAGTCTGTGTCTCAGGCTAGGTGTGAGTCTGTGTCTCAGGCTGGGTGTGAGTCCGTGTCTCAGGCTGGGTGTGAGTCTGTGTCTCAGGCTGGCTGTGAGTCTGCGTCTCAGGCTGGGTGAGTCTGTGTCTCAGGCTGGGTGTGAGTCTGTGTCTCAGGCTGGGTGTGAGTCTGTGTCTCAGGCTGGGTGTGAGTCTGTGTCTCAGGCTGGGTGTGAGTCTGTGTCTCAGGCTGGGTGTGAGTCTGTGTCTCAGGCTGGCTGTGAGTCTGTGTCTCAGGCTGGGTGTGAGTCTGTGTCTCAGGCTGCCCTGTGAGTCCGCGTCTCAGGCTGGCCTGTGAGTCCGCGTCTCAGGCTGGGTGTAGGAGAGCCCGTTGCTCAGTTTTTGGTGTAGCTGAGTCTGTGGCTGGCTCAGTGTGTGAGTCGGTGGCTCGTGGCCATACCCTTCGACGCCATTGCAGGTTAGCCTCATCTTCCTGTGCTGGCTTCCGCGCTCGGTGGCGCCCAGCTCGGGCGTGCAGCTGCTGCTGGTGCTGCGCTGCCTCCGACCCCTGCGCATCTTCAAGCTCGTGCCGCAGATGAGGAAGGTGGTGAGGGAGGTGTTCAGCGGGTTCAAGGAGATCTTCCTGGTGAGGAATGCTCGCAGAACGCGGCCTGCGGCATTGACGCCGCTCCGCGTGGGCAAGCCTGTTTTAGCATGAAGTCTGTTTTTTTCCGCATCGCATCGATCGTCGTGGCGATCTGCGCCGGTAGGAGGACCCTCCGGCGTCGTCAGCGTCACCGGCAACGAGGACGATGACAATCTCGTCGTGACTCTGACGATGACGGCGATCGTCGTGGCTCTGTGACCCCGAGGCCCCGTGACCCCGGGGCCCTGTGACCTCGAGGTTCTGTGACCCCGAGGCTCTGTGACCCTGAGACTCTAACCCTGAGGCTCTGTAACCACGAGGCTCTGTAACCACGAGGCTCTGTAACCACGAGGCCCTGTAACCACGTGGCTCTGTGACCCTGAGGCTCTGTGACCACGTGACTCTGTAACCCTGAGGCTCTGTGACCACGTGGCTCTGTAACCCTGAGGCCCTGTGACCACGAGGCTCTGTAACCCTGAGGCTCTGTGACCACGTGACTCTGTAACCCTGAGGCTCTGTGACCACGTGGCTCTGTGACCACGTGGCTCTGTAACCTGAGGCCCTGTGACCACGAGGCTCTGTAACCCTGAGGCTCTGTGATCACGTGACTCTGTAACCACGTGGCTCTGTAACCACGAGGCTCTGTGACCACGTGACTCTGTAACCACGTGACTCTGTGACCCTGAGGCTCTGTAACCATGTGACTCTGTAACCCTGAGGTTCTGTAACCACGTGACTCTGTGACCACGTGACTCTGTAACCATGAGACTCTGTAACCACGTGACTCTGTAACCCTGAGACTCTGTAACCACGTGGCTCTGTAACCACGAGGCTCTGTAACCCTGAGGCTCTGTGACTACGTGACTCTGTAACCCTGAGGCTCTGTGACCCTGAGACTCTGTAACCACGAGGCTCTGTGACCCTGAGGCTCTGTAACCACGTGACTCTGTGACCCCGAGGCCCTGTGACCCTGAGGCTCTGTAACCACGAGGCTCTGTAACCACGTGACTCTGTGACCCTGAGACTCTGTAACCCTGAGGCTCTGTAACCACGTGACTCTGTCACCCTGAGGCTCTGTGACCACGTGACTCTGTAACCACGAGGCTCTGTGACCCTGAGGCTCTGTAACCCTGAGACTCTGTGACCACGTGGCTCTGTAACCCTGAGGCTCTGTAACCACGTGGCTCTGTAACCCTGAGGCTCTGTAACCACGTGACTCTGTAACCACGTGGCTCTGTAACCCTGAGGCTCTGTAACCACGTGGCTCTGTAACCCTGAGGCTCTGTAACCACGTGACTCTGTAACCACGTGGCTCTGTGACCCTGAGGCTCTGTAACCACGAGGCTCTGTAACCACGTGGCTCTGTAACCCTGAGGCTCTGTAACCCTGAGGCTCTGTAACCACGAGGCTCTGTAACCACGAGGCTGTCTAACCACGTGACTCTGTGACCCCGAGGCCCTGTGACCCCGAGGCTCTGTGACCACGTGACTCTGTAACCACGTGACTCTGTCACCCTGAGGCTCTGTAACCACGTGGCTCTGTAACCACGTGGCTCTGTAACCACGAGGCTCTGTAACCACGAGGCTCTGTAACCACGTGGCTCTGTAACCACGAGGCTCTGTAACCACGTGACTCTGTAACCCTGAGGCTCTGTAACCACGTGACTCTGCAACCCTGAGGCTCTGTAACCACGAGGCTGTCTAACCACGTGACTCTGTAACCCTGAGGCTCTGTGACCCTGAGGCTCTGTGACCACGTGGCTCTGTAACCACGTGACTCTGTAACCACGTGGCTCTGTAACCCTGAGGCCCTGTAACCTGCGCTCTCCCAGGTCTCCATCCTCCTGCTCACCCTCATGTTCGTTTTCGCGAGCTTCGGGGTTCAGCTGTTTGCGGGGAAACTCGCAAAGTGCAACGACCCCCACGTCGTGCTCGAGGTGAGAGACGGCCTCCGTTCACTCCGCTACGCTACATGGTACTCTACACTGCACGCTACACTACGCTGCGCTACACTACACTATGCGGTACACTACACGCTATACTACGCGCTATACTACACTATGCTTCGCAACGTGGTACGCCACACGCTACACTACGTGCTACACTACACACTACACTACACGTTACACTACACGATGCTGCATGCAACACTGCGTACTGCACTACACTGCTTTACATACTGCTCGCTACACTACACGCTATACTACATGCTACACTACACGCTACACGACAGTACACGGTACACTACACGCCACACTACGCGCCACACTACGCTAAACACACTACACTACGCTCCACGGTACATTATGCTACACGCGACACTACATGCTAAACTACACTACAGTACCGTGTGTAGTTAGCCTGGTGGTCCACCACCATAGTGTGTAGTTATCCTGGTGGTCTACCACCATAGGGTGTAGTTAGCCTGGTGGTCCACCACCATAGTGTGTAGTTAGCCTGGTGGTTCACCACCATAGTGTGTAGTTAGCCTGGTGGTCCACCACCATAGTGTGTAGTTAGCCTGGTGGTCCACCACCATAGGGTGTAGTTAGCCTGGTGGTCCACCACCATAGTGTGTAGTTAGCCTGGTGGTCCACCACCATAGTGTGTAGTTAGCCTGGTGGCCCACCACCATAGTGTGTAGTTAGCCTGGTGGTCCACCACCATAGTGTGTAGTTAGCCGGGTGGTCCACCACCATCGTGTGTAGTTAGCCTGGTGGTCCACCACCATAGTGTGTAGTTAGCCTGGTGGTCCACCACCATAGTGTGTAGTTAGCCTGGTGGCCCACCACCATAGTGTGTAGTTAGCCTGGTGGTCCACCACCATAGTGTGTAGTTAGCCGGGTGGTCCACCACCATCGTGTGTAGTTAGCCTGGTGGTCCACCACCATAGTGTGTAGTTAGCCTGGTGGTCCACCACTATAGTGTGTAGTTAGCCGGGTGGTCCACCACCATAGTGTGTAGTTAACCTGGTGGTCCACCACTATAGTGTGTAGTTAGCCTGGTGGTCCACCACCATAGTGTGTAGTTAGCCTGGTGGCCCACCACCATAGTGTATAGTTAGCCTGGTGGTCCACCACCATAGTGTGTAGTTAGCCTGGTGGCCCACCACCATAGTGTGTAGTTAGCCTGGTGGTCCACCACCATAGTGTGTAGTTAGCCGGGTGGTCCACCACCATCGTGTGTAGTTAGCCTGGTGGTCCACCACCATAGTGTGTAGTTAGCCTGGTGGTCCACCACTATAGTGTGTAGTTAGCCTGGTGGTCCACCACTATAGTGTGTAGTTAGCCGGGTGGTCCACCACCATAGTGTGTAGTTAACCTGGTGGTCCACCACTATAGTGTGTAGTTAGCCTGGTGGTCCACCACTATAGTGTGTAGTTAGCCGGGTGGTCCACCACCATAGTGTGTAGTTAGCCTGGTGGTCCACCACCATAGTGTGTAGTTAGCCTGGTGGTCCACCACTATAGTGTGTAGTTAGCCGGGTGGTCCACCACCATAGTGTGTAGTTAGCCTGGTGGTCCACCACCATAGTGTGTAGTTAGCCTGGTGGTCCACCATCATAGTGTGTAGTTAGCCGGGTGGTCCACCACCATAGTGTGTAGTTAACCTGGTGGTCCACCACTATAGTGTGTAGTTAGCCTGGTGGTCCACCACTATAGTGTGTAGTTAGCCGGGTGGTCCACCACCATAGTGTGTAGTTAGCCTGGTGGTCCACCACCATAGTGTGTAGTTAGCCTGGTGGTCCACCACTATAGTGTGTAGTTAGCCGGGTGGTCCACCACCATAGTGTGTAGTTAGCCTGGTGGTCCACCACCATAGTGTGTAGTTAGCCTGGTGGTCCACCATCATAGTGTGTAGTTAGCCTGGTGGTCCACCATCATAGTGTGTAGTTAGCCTGGTGGTCCACCATTATAGTGTCTAGTTAGCCTGGTGCTCCACCACCATAGTGTGTAGTTAGCCTGGTGGTCCACCACTATAGTGTGTAGTTAGCCTGGTGCTCCACCACCAAAGTGTATAGTTAGCCTGGTGGTCCACCACTATAAAAACCGGACCTCTGGACGAGTCTGGCAGTCTTCGTCAAGCTGAAGAAAGAAGACCAGTTAGGCTAGGACCCTGGTTACCCCCAGACCCGCCGCCCTTCTAAGGGCCGGGACCGAGTGGGCCAGTGGTCGGGACCCGAGGACCTTGGCTGAGTCGGGTCAGATAGCCTCCCCCTAGGTCCCCTTAGCCGGAGGAACGTGGGTGTGGTCCCAGTGATGAGGACTCGCTAGCCCAGAGGCTGTACCTCGTTGGGTATCGGGTAGAGGGGTCGCTACCCGTCTGTGTTAGGGACCCGTGAATCCCGCAGTTGCATTGAATAAACGTCTTGCCTCGAGCACTCCATCGCTGGTCTCCCTGGAACCCACTACATATGTACCCTGTGTGTGTACCGTGTGTGTGTTGAGGCGTAAATGACGACTCGGAGGCAGATCTTTATGTAGGGGCTTGCGCCAGCTGTGTTATTAAAGGCTTCTCTTTGGACGCGACTCCGTGTACTGCCCCCTCACTGCCTACACTCCACACCCCAGGGTAGGGGTACTGGGGAAGTCCCTAGCACCCGCAGGCTACCCTAGCCTGGTGCCAATTTCCCCCTACCCTGGGTCCCATTGCTCCCCCAGGGGTAGGGTACTGGGGAGGTCCCTAGCACACCCGCAGGCTACCCTAGCCTGGTGCCAATTTCCCCCTACCCTGGGTCCCATCGCTCCCCCAGGGTAGGGGTACTGGGGAGGTCCCTAGCACACCCACAGGCTACCCTAGCCTGGTGCCAATTTCCCCCTACCCTGGGTCCCATCGCTCCCCCAGGGTAGGGGTACAGGGGAGGTCCCTAGCACACCCACAGGCTACCCTAGCCTGGTGCCAATTACCCCCTACCCTGGGTCCCAACTTCCAACTTCACCTGTTCCTGGCTCCCCGCAACGACCCTGAACCTGTGACGGGTTCCAGCTTAAATCCTCCCAGGGGGACATGACGTCACTGTCCTGCCCCTGCCCATGACATCACTGTCCTGGCCCCTGCCCATGACGTCACCGTCCCTGACGTCATCGTGCCAGAGGGTGAGCGTGACATGACGTCACTAACTCCTATCTACATGTGTATGTATATATCTGCGTGTGTGTCGTGGTGGTGGTGGTGATGCAGGAGGAGTGTGTGGGAATCTTCAGGATCAATGTGAGCGTCTCCAAGACGCTGAACCTCAAACTGCGTCCCGGCGAGAAGAAACCGGGCTTCTGGGTCCCCAGGGTCTGGTGAGAACAACAATAACAACAACAACACAACAACAATAACAACAACTAGCAAAAACACAACATACAATAACACGAAAAAAACACAACAATAACAACAACAACTAGCAACAACACAACTACAATAACACAAAAAACACGACAATAACAACAACACAACAACAAAAACACAACAACAATAGTAACAACACAATAACAATACAACAACCTTACACCCAACTATAACATAACACAACAACAATAGTAACAACACAACAACAATAGTAACAACACAACAACAACAATAGTAACAACACAACAATAACAGTAAGAACACAACAACAATAATAGTAAAAACACAACAACAATAGTAACAACACAACAACAATACAACAACCTTACACCCAACTATAACATAACAACACAACAACAACAGTAACAACACAACAACAATAGTAACAACACAACAACAACAACAATAGTAACAACACAACAACAATACAACAACCTTACACCCAACTATAACATAACAACACAACAACAACAGTAACAACACAACAACAATAGTAACAACACAACAACACAACAACAATAGTAACAACACAACAACAATACAACAACCTTACACCCAACTATAACATAACAACACAACAACAACAGTAACAACACAACAACAATAGTAACAACACAACAACAATAGTAACAACACAACAACAACAGTAACAACACAACAACAATAGTAACAACACAACAACACAACAACAATAGTAACAACACAACAACAATACAACAACCTTACACCCAACTATAACATAACAACACAACAACAACAGTAACAACACAACAACAATAGTAACAACACAACAACAATAGTAACAACACAACAACAATAGTAACAACACAACAACAACAATACAACAACCTTACACCCAACTAGAACATAACAACACAACAACAACAGTAACAACACAACAACAACAATAGTAACAACACAACAACAACACAGCAGCAACAATAGTAACAACACAACAACACAACAGCAACAATAGTAACAAGACAACAACAACAGTAACAACACAACAACAATAGTAACAGCACAACAACAAGAATAGCAACAAGACAACAACAACAGTAACAACACAACAACAACAGTAACAACACAACAACAGTAACAACACAACAACAATAGTAACAACACAACAACAATAGTAATAACACAACAACAATAGTAACAACACAACAACAATAGTAACAACACAACAACAATAGTAACAAGACAACAACAGTAACAACACAACAACAACAGTAACAACAACAATAGTAACAACACAACAACAATAGTAACAACACAACAACAATAGTAACAAGACAACAACAGTAACAACACAACAACAACAGTAACAACACAACAACAGTAACAACACAACAACAATAGTAACAACACAACAACAATAGTAATAACACAACAACAATAGTAACAACACAACAACAATAGTAACAACATAACAACAATAGTAACAAGACAACAACAGTAACAACACAACAACAACAGTAACAACAACAATAGTAACAACACAACAACAATAGTAACAAGACAACAACAGTAACAACACAACAACAACAGTAACAACAACAATAGTAACAACACAACAACAATAGTAACAACACAACAACAGTAACAACACAACAACAATAGTAACAACACAACAACAATAGTAACAACACAACAACAATAGTAACAACACAACAACAACAATAGTAACAAGACAACAACAGTAACAACACAACAACAACAGTAACAACAACAATAGTAACAACACAACAACAATAGTAACAACACAACAACAGTAACAACAACACAACAACAACAATAGTAACAACACAACAACAATAGTAACAACACAACAACAATAGTAACAACACAACATCAATAGTAACAACACAACAACAACAGTTGTAACAACACAACAACAACAATAGTAACAACACAACAACAGTAACAACACAACAACAACAATAGTAACAACACAACAACAACAATAGTAACAACACAACAACAATAGTAACAACAACAACAGTAACAACAACAACAACAACGCAGCAGTAGCGGTCAGCGCTACTGCTGCGTTACCAACCCGGCAGAGACGAGTTCGATTACCACTCCTGGTCAACACCAACACCACCCGTGGCGATTCTCTGAACCGGTCCTGGGCCTCCCCTAGGTCGACTCGGCCTCAAATGAATACCTGGTGCGGTGTGAAGTAGTAAACATCGCCACTGGGGGAGACAAAGGCGGCCGGGCGTGGTGCTGGTAGCCACCTACCCCCTCGTGTGCCATAGTGCCGGTAGCCTTCACAGGTGCTGCTCGCTAACCGCACTTGCCCCTGCAGTCTGTTAGAGGCTACATGGGGGACCTTTGTCTGTATCTACCTTCACAGGTGCTGCTGCTACTCGCTACTAACAGCACTTGCCCCTATAGCCTGTTAGAGGCTACACGGGGGACCTTTGTCTGTGTCTACCTTCACAGGTGCTGCTGCTACTCGCTACTAACAGCACTTGCCCCTACAGCCTGTTAGAGGCTACACTGGTGACCTTTGTCTGTGTCTACCTTCACAGGTGCTGCTGCTACTCGCTACTCACAGCACTTGCCCCTACAGCCTGTTAGGGGCTACAAGGGGGACCTTTGTCTTTTTGTGTGTGTGAGTGTGTGAGTCAGTGTGTGAGTGAGTCAGTGTATGAGTGTATGAGTGAGTGTATGAGTGTATGAGTGAGTGTATGAGTGAGTGTATGAGTGTGTGTATGAGTGAGTGTATGAGTGAGTGTATGAGTGAGTGTATGAGTGAGTGAGTGTATGAGTGAGTGTATGAGTGAGTGTATGAGTGAGTGTATGAGTGTGTGAGTGAGTGTAAGAGTGAGTGAGTGTATGAGTGAGTGTATGAGTGTGTGAGTGAGTGTGTGAGTGTATGAGTGAGTGAGTGTATGAGTGAGTGTATGAGTGAGTGTATGAGTGAGTATATGAGTGAGTGTATGAGTGTGTGAGTGTGTGAGTGAGTGTATGAGTGAGTGAGTGTATGAGTGAGTGTATGAGTGAGTGTATGAGTGAGTGAGTGTATGAGTGAGTGTATGAGTGTGTGAGTGAGTGAGTGTGTGAGTGAGTGTATGAGTGAGTGTATGAGTGTGTGAGTGAGTGAGTGTAGTCACCACCTGTGTCGTTGTGTCCGCTGCTCCAGGGCTAACCCACGCAACTTCAACTTCGACAACGTGGGGAGCGCCATGCTCACTCTCTTCGAGGTGCTGTCACTCAAGGGCTGGGTGGAGGTGCGCGACGTCATCATCCAGCGCGTGGGGCCGGTGAGAGAGGGAGCGCGCACACACACACGTGTGTACACACACACACACGTGTACACACACACACACGTGTGTACACACACACACGTGTACACACACACACGTGTGTACGCGTACACACGTGTGTACACACACACACACACGTGTGTACACACACACACACGTGTGTACACACACACACACGTGTGTACACACACACACGTGTGTACACACACACACGTGTACACACACACACAAAGACACGTGTGTGTGTGTGTACTATGTGTGTGTACACGTGTGTGTATGTGTGTGTGTGTATGTGTGTGTATGTGTGGCAAAACAACCCCCTACCTCCTCGCGGTGCCGGACGGGCAACTCTGTCGTGGACAGTGCTGTGGGGGGAGATCCAATTTTGATTGGCTCCTCCCCTCATGGCATATGTGTCCACCACAGGGGCTAAACGGGGGCTCTGGACGGGTGCGAGGGGCTGATAACCCCTCCAACTTTCAATTAATTACCACGAAACCACGAGTTAAACTGAAATATGTAACTAATAAGCTTGTGCCGGAGGCCCCGGGGGGCCAGGCGTCTATGACGTCTACTGGCCACACCCCAATTGGCGGAGCCAGGAGATTGAATATCTACCCTCGGGGCTCCTCCAGAAACAACGAAAAGCCACTATGGGTGGCCACGTGGAATGTTCGAACGCTCACTGCAGAGGAGAGGCTGCCACTCCTCTGTCGGGAGCTGGAACGGTACCGCCTGGATCTATGCGGCATTCAGGAGGTCCGGTGGACCGGCTCTGGCTCCTGCCACCATGAGGGGTGGACAGTCCTCTACTCGGGGCAGCAGACTGCCAAACAACAGGGTGTGGCTCTTCTTTTGAACAAAAGAATGAAGGGGGCGTGGGAGCGTGGCGGTGAGGTGTGGGAAGCTGTAAGCCCCAGGCTACTTTGGGCTCGCCTTCCCATCAACCGGAGGCGAGGAATGGTGGTCGTGGTTACTTATGCCCCCACCGAAGATGAACATCCGTGGAGGGATGCAGGCAAAGCCGATGAGTCAGATGCCTTCTATGACCTCCTGTCACAGGTGCTGGCTAAAGTGGCCCCTCGGGATAGAGTCATCATGTTGGGTGACTTCAATGCACGAGTTGGTCATGATACTGGCACCTGGTCTGGAGTGATTGGAGGGCATGGGCCAGATCAGCTCAATAACAACGGTAGGAGGCTGCTAGATTTTTGTGCAGCCCATGGGCTTGTAATTAACAATACGCTGTTCCGGCATCGGCGCATCCACACAACATCATGGATGCATGCCGGGTCCAAGCAAAAACATCTGCTGGACTACATAGTGACGGACCAGCGGATGCGAGCCCATGTCATTGATACCAGGACCTACCGTGGAGCTGATCTGCCCTCTGACCATCGACTAGTCATCTGTAAGATGTGCCTGCCATTCTTCCACTCCGGTGGTGGGTGTACACCCAGGACCCCATTACGACCTAAAGTGGCCCGGTCTCAGTTATCTGATGAAAGTTGCAAGGGAGAATTTCATCATCGCTTGCGGCTGGGATTGGCATCGTCCCCGCCTCCTCCTGATGTCGAGGGTAAATGGGCGAGGTTTAGGACTGTGACTCATGCAGCTGCAATGGTTGCTTTGGGTACGCGGTCCAGACCTCCCCAGAGACCCTGGCTGACAGAGGAGGTGTTCAGGATGGTTGAGAAAAAGCGACAGGCCCACTGTCATCGGCTACAGAATCCCACGTCAGAGAATGAGGAGGCTTACCGCAGCCTTCGCTCGGCGGTTCGGAGAGCCGTGAGGCGCTGCAAGGATGGGTGGTGGTCGCGGGTTGCTGAGGAGATGGAGTTTGCCTCAGTGGCCCGTGATCACAAATCTCTATTTAACTCCATCAAAAAGTAACCTGCAGCGCCACACCTATTACCATCATTAGGGGAAAAAACGGTGATCCAATCTCTGACCCCCAGGAACAGGTTTGCAGATTTGCTGAGCATTTCTGTGAGGTCCTGGGGGAGGGAAAATCCCTCAGCCAGGAAAACATCGTGGCACAAAATGAGGATGACCCTGCTGAGGCTGCGGTGCCTCAAATATTGGAAGAAGTCACCCCCTGTGAGTGGCTGGCTGAGGTGCCATCTGTTGAGGAAGTACTGAAGGCGATCCGGAGTCTGAGACCAGGAAAGGCGCCGGGCAGAGATGATCTCCCAAGCGAAATGCTGAGGGAGGGTGGCGTTTGTGTGAAGACTGCCCTACATGACATTATAAGAACAGTCTGGGCAACTGGAGGGGTTCCGTAGGATTGGAAGGATGCCCTGGTGGTCCCCCTCTTTAAGAAGGGGGACCGCACAGACTGTCTCACTCCTCAGTGTGCCGGGAAAGGTCCTGGCAAGGATTATTCAGCATCGCCTTGCCAGTCACGCTGAGGAGAGACTTGCGGAGCCCCAATGCGTTTTCAGGAAAGGGCGGTCCTGCACAGATGCCATATTTTCTGTCTGTCTGCTACAGCAGAGGTGTAGGGAATTCCAACAAGACCTACATCTCTGCTTTATTGACCTGGTCAAGGCCTATGATACCATCAGTAGGCCTGGGCTCTGGGTCGTTCTTCGTGCTTTTGGAGTACCTGACCCTCTGCTCACGATCATTAAGGACCTTCATGATCGTGAGCGGGCCCGGGTAAAACTACGTGGCCGGGAGTCAGAGCCATTCCCTGTACACCTTGGGGTGCGACAGGGATGTCCTCTGGCTCCCACATTATTTAACATCTATTTTGACCACGTAGTTCGTGAAGCCTTCAATAGCTGTACCGGGGGAATCTCCATATGGTATAGATATAATGGGAGGCTGATCGATGCCCAGGAGCGGTCAAGGGATGGCTCCCTATTGCTCAACCACGTTATGTATGCTGATGATTTGGTAATAGCTGCTCAGTCAGAGGAGGAGTTGGAGACGCTGCTGCTGAGACTGGAGCGTGCCACTAAGAGGTGGGGCCTTACCATCAGCCCCACCAAAACTAAGCACCTGCCTGGGTATTTTGTACCATCGGACACTCCACCCCCATAACTCCCAATTGGTGATGGGGCAGTTGTGGAGAGAGTGGAGAGTTTCCCATACCTGGGCAGTGTGCTTATGACCGGCTCCAGTTTAACAGCAGAGATCTCACTCCGAATCAGTCGAACGGCAATATATTTTCGTCGGTTGCGTAACGCTGTGTGGAAGCTACCTGGTCTGTCGCTCCGCACTAAGCTTCAGGTCTTCTCGGCCACGGTCATTCCCTCCCTTCTCTACACTTGCGAAACGTGGACCCCCCTAATGGAACATCTTCGCTGGTTAGAAACATTTAGGCTGGCCTGCCTACGATCCATCCTGGGTTTAACCAGACTGGATCGTGTGAGGAGCTCACAAATCCTTGAAAGATCTGGGCAGGGTCCCATCGGTGAGCTCCTCCGGCGGGCAAGGCTGCGATGGCTGGGTCATGTAGCCCGCATGCCCAGCCACCGCATGCCGAAACAGCTTTTGTTCGACCAGATTGAGGGGGCTAAGCGGGCGCGGCACGAGCTAGAGAAGAGATGGAGTGATGTGGTACAGGAGGACGTGGAGCTGAGTGGACTTGCCGATGACTGGTACCAGCGGTGTCAAGATCGGCCTCTGTGGAGGAGGCTCGTGAAGGATGCTACTGGGCAGTTGGAGGTAGTCGCCCTCCAACAACAACGGAGGGCCGAGGAGCGACACTCAGAACAACGAGCGGCGCGCCGGGTGGCTAAAGCACGGCAGGTTGGCACAGTAGGGGGCACAGGTGGTGCATCAGCCAGTCATCTCAGTCAGTCGACCCGTGGCACCTGGGTCTGCCCCGTGACCTCCTGCCAGCGGGCGTTCGACACTTCACGTGGCCTCAGGGTGCACATAGCCTGGCACAAGCGTCGTGGTGACGTTACCGCCACTTAGTGGCGAATGGCGGTTGTTGTTGTATGTGTGTACTATGTGTGTGTATGTGTGTATACACGTGTGTGTGTGTGTATGTGTGTACTGTGTGTGTGCGTGTGTGTATGTACGTGTGTGTGTGTATGTGTAGGTGCTCGCTAACAGCACTTGCCCCTACAGTCTGTTAAGGCTATACGGGGATCTTTGTTTGTGTATGTGTGTGTATGTGTGTGTATGTAGATGCACGGTATCTACATCCACGTCTTCGTCTTCTTAGGCTGCATGATCGGCCTCACGCTCTTCGTCGGCGTCGTCATCGCCAACTTCAACGAGAACAAAGTGCCTACCTACACCTACCTACACCTACCTACACCTACCTACTGCCTACCTACACCTACCTACTGCCTACCTACACCTACCTACACCTACCTACTGCCTACCTACACCTACCTACACCTACCTACTGCCTACCTACACCTACCTACACCTACCTACACCTACCTACTGCCTACCTACTGCCTTCCTACACCTACCTACTGCCTACCTACAGCTACCTACTGCCTACCTACTGCCTACCTACACCTACCTACACCTACCTACTGCCTACCTACACCTACCTACTGCCTACCTACACCTACCTACACCTACCTACTGCCTACCTACACCTACCTACTGCCTACCTACTGCCTACCTACACCTACCTACACCTACCTACTGCCTACCTACACCTACCTACTGCCTACCTACACCTACCTACTGACAACCTAGTGCCTAGCTACACCTATCTACACCTACCTACTGCCTACCTACTGCCTACCTACACCTACCTACACCTACCTACTACCTACCTACTGCCTACCTACTGCCTACCTACACCTACCTACTGCCTACCTACTGCCTACCTACTGCCTACCTACACCTACCTACTGCCTACCTACACCTACCTACTGCCTACCTACACCTACCTACTGCCTACCTACACCTACCTACACCTACCTACTGCCTACCTACACCTACCTACTGCCTACCTACACCTACCTACACCTACCTACTGCCTACCTACACCTACCTACACCTACCTACTGCCTACCTACACCTACCTACACCTACCTACACCTACCTACTGCCTACCTACACCTACCTACACCTACCTACTGCCTACCTACACCTACCTACACCTACCTACTGCCTACCTACACCTACCTACTGCCTACCTACACCTACCTTCACCTACCTACTGCCTACCTACACCTACCTACTGCCTACCTACACCTTCCTTCACCTACCTACTGCCTACCTACACCTACCTACACCTACCTACTGCCTACCTACACCTACCTACACCTACCTACATCTACCTACTGCCTACCTACTGCCTTCCTACACCTACCTACTGCCTACCTACAGCTACCTACTGCCTACCTACTGCCTACCTACACCTACCTACACCTACCTACTGCCTACCTACACCTACCTACTGCCTACCTACACCTACCTACACCTACCTACTGCCTACCTACACCTACCTACTGCCTAGCTACTGCCTACCTACACCTACCTACACCTACCTACTGCCTACCTACACCTACCTACTGCCTACCTACACCTACCTACTGACAACCTAGTGCCTAGCTACACCTATCTACACCTACCTACTGCCTACCTACTGCCTACCTACACCTACCTACACCTACCTACTACCTACCTACTGCCTACCTACTGCCTACCTACACCTACCTACTGCCTACCTACTGCCTACCTACTGCCTACCTACACCTACCTACTGCCTACCTACACCTACCTACTGCCTACCTACACCTACCTACACCTACCTACTGCCTACCTACACCTACCTACTGCCTACCTACACCTACCTACACCTACCTACTGCCTACCTACACCTACCTACACCTACCTACACCTACCTACTGCCTACCTACACCTACCTACACCTACCTACACCTACCTACTGCCTACCTACACCTACCTACACCTACCTACTGCCTACCTACACCTACCTACACCTACCTACTGCCTACCTACACCTACCTACTGCCTACCTACACCTACCTTCACCTACCTACTGCCTACCTACACCTACCTACTGCCTACCTACACCTTCCTTCACCTACCTACTGCCTACCTACACCTACCTACACCTACCTACTGCCTACCTACACCTACCTACACCTACCTACACCTACCTACTGCCTTCCTACACCTACCTACTGCCTACCTACAGCTACCTACTGCCTACCTACTGCCTACCTACACCTACCTACACCTACCTACTGCCTACCTACACCTACCTACTGCCTACCTACACCTACCTACACCTACCTACTGCCTACCTACACCTACCTACTGCCTAGCTACTGCCTACCTACACCTACCTACACCTACCTACTGCCTACCTACACCTACCTACTGCCTACCTACACCTACCTACTGACAACCTAGTGCCTAGCTACACCTATCTACACCTACCTACTGCCTACCTACTGCCTACCTACACCTACCTACACCTACCTACTACCTACCTACTGCCTACCTACTGCCTACCTACACCTACCTACTGCCTACCTACTGCCTACCTACTGCCTACCTACACCTACCTACTGCCTACCTACACCTACCTACTGCCTACCTACACCTACCTACTGCCTACCTACACCTACCTACACCTACCTACTGCCTACCTACACCTACCTACACCTACCTACTGTCTACCTACACCTACCTACTGCATACCTACTGCCTACCTACACCTACCTACTGCCTACCTACACCTACCTTCACCTACCTACTGCCTACCTACACCTACCTACTGCCTACCTACACCTTCCTTCACCTACCTACTGCCTACCTACACCTACCTACACCTACCTACTGCCTACCTACACCTACCTACACCTACCTACACCTACCTACTGCCTAGCTACTGCCTACCTACACCTACCTACACCTACCTACTGCCTACCTACACCTACCTACTGCCTACCTACACCTACCTACTGACAACCTAGTGCCTAGCTACACCTACCTACACCTACCTACTGCCTACCTACTGCCTACCTACACCTACCTACACCTACCTACTACCTACCTACTGCCTACCTACTGCCTACCTACACCTACCTACTGCCTACCTACACCTACCTACTGCCTACCTACACCTACCTACTGCCTACCTACACCTACCTTCACCTACCTACTGCCTACCTACACCTACCTACTGCCTACCTACACCTACCTACTGCCTACCTACACCTACCTACTGCCTACCTACTGTCTACCTACACCTACCTACTGAATACCTACTGCCTACCTACACCTACCTACTGCCTACCTATACCTACCTACTGCCTACCTACACCTACCTACTGCCTACCTACTGCCTACCTACACCTACCTACACCTACCTACTGCCTACCTACACCTACCTACACCTACCTACTGCCTACCTACACCTACCTACTGCCTACCTACACCTACCTACTGCCTACCTACTGCCTACCTACACCTACCTACACCTACCTACTGCCTACCTACTTCTACCTACACCTACCTACTGCCTACCTACACCTACCTACACCTACCTACTGCGTACCTACTGCCTACCTACTGCCTACCTACACCTACCTACACCTACCTACTGCTTACCTACACCTACCTACTGCCTACCTACTGCCTACCTACACCTACCTACTGCCTACCTACGGGGTGAGCCGTGCGACGAGGTGAGCTGACGAGGTGAGCTGACGAGGTGAGTTGACAAGGTGAGTTGACGAGGTGAGTTGACGAGGTGAGCCGTGTGACGAGGTGAGCTGACGAGGTGAGCCGTGTGACGAGGTGAGTTGACGAGGTGAGCTGACGAGGTGAGTTGACGAGGTGAGCTGACGAGGTGAGCCGTGTGACGTTGTCCAGGGCACGGCGCTGCTGACTGTGGACCAGCGCCGCTGGGAGGACCTCAAGAGCCGCCTGAAGATCGCCCAGCCCCTGCACCTCCCTCCACGGCCAGGTGAGGGCTCGCACAGCAGTGTACAGGTGTACAGGTGTTCACATGTGTGTGTGTACAGGTGTACAGGTGTGTACAGCTGTGTACACATGTGTGTACAGGTGTACACAGGTGTACAGCTGTGTACAGGTGTGTACAGGTGTGTACAGGTGTGTGTACAGGTGTGTGTATAGGTGTGTGTGTACAGGTGTGTACAGGTGTGTACAGGTGTGTGTGTACAGGTGTGTGTGTACAGGTGTGTACAGGTGTGTACAGGTGTGTGTGTACTGGTGTGTACAGGTGTGTACAGGTGTGTGTGTACAGGTGTGTGTACAGGTGTGTACAGGTGTGTGTGTACAGCTGTGTACACATGTGTGTACAGGTGTACAGGTGTATACAGGTGTGTGTGCAGCTGTGTGTACAGGTGTGTAGACGTGTACAGGTGTGTGTGTGTGAACAGGTGTGTGTGTGTGTACAGGTGTGTACAGATGTGTGTGTGAACAGGTGTACAGGTGTGTGTACAGGTGTGTGTGTGAACAGGTGTGTGTGTGTACAGCTGTGTACAGGTGTGTACAGGTTTGTGTGTCTGTTCAGGTGTGTGTGCAGGTGTGTGCAGATGTGTGTACAGGTGTGTGTGAACAGGTGTACAGGTGTGTGTACAGGTGTGTACAGGTGTACAGGTGTGTACAGGTGTGTGTTTACAGGTGTGTGTGTGTGTACAGGTATGTGTGTACAGGTGTGTGTGTGTACAGCTGTGTACAGGTGTACAGGTGTGTACAGCTGTGTACAGGTGTGTACAGGTGTGTACAGGTGTGTGTACAGGTAGGTGTGTGTGTACAGGTGTGTACAGGTGTGTACAGGTGTACAGGTGTGTACAGGTGTGTACAGGTGTACAGGTGTGTACAGGTGTGTACAGGTGTACAGGGTGTGTGTACTGGTGTGTGTACAGGTGTGTTCAGGTGTGTGTGTACAGGTGTACAGGTGTGTAAAGGTGTGTGTGTGTACAGGTGTACAGGTGTGTGTGTGTACAGGTGTGTGTGAACAGGTGCACAGGTGTGTGTACAGGGGTGTACAGGTGTACAGGTGTGTACAGGTGTGTGTTTACAGGTGTGTGTGTGTGTACAGGTATGTGTGTACAGGTGTGCGTACACCTGTGTACAGGTGTACAGGTGTGTACAGCTGTGTACAGGTGTGTACAGGTGTGTACAGGTGTGTGTACAGGTAGGTGTGTGTGTGTACAGGTGTGTACAGGTGTGTACAGGTGTACAGGTGTGTACAGGTGTGTACAGGTGTACAGGTGTGTACAGGTGTGTACAGGTGTACAGGTGTGTGTGTACTGGTGTGTGTACAGGTGTGTTCAGGTGTGTGTGTACAGGTGTACAGGTGTGTACAGGTGTGTGTGTACAGGTGTACAGGTGTGTGTGTGTACAGGTGTGTGTACAGGTGTGTGTGTGTACAGGTGTGTACAGGTGTGTACAGGTGTGTGTACAGGTGTACAGGTGTGTGTGTACAGGTGTGTGTGTACAGGTGTGTGTACAGGTGTGTGTGTGTGTGTACAGGTCTCCCCCGTGTCTCCCCACGCGTCTCCCCCCGCGTCTCCCCACGTGTCTCCCCACGTGTCTCCCCCCGTGTCTCCCCACGTGTCTCCCCACGTGTCTCCCACGTGTCTCCCCCCGTGTCTCCCCACGTGTCTCCCACGTGTCTCCCACGTGTCTCCCCACGTGTCTCCCACGTGCCTCCCCACGTGTCTCCCCACGTGCCTCCCCACGTGTCTAGACGGCGAGGGGCTGCGTGCCAAAATGTACGACATCACTCAGCACCCCTTCTTCAAGCGCAGCATCGCACTACTCGTTATGGCCCAGTCGCTGCTGCTCTCTGTCAAGGTGGACACTCACTTAGTTACTCACTCACTCAGTCACTCAGTCACTCACTCAGTCACTCACTCACTCACTCAGTCACTCACTCAGTTAATCACTCACTCAGTCACTCACTCAGTCACTCACTCTGTCATTCACTCACTCTGTCAATCTGTCACTCACTCAGTCACTCACTCTGTCACTCATTCAGTCACTCACTCACTCACTAAGTCACTCACTCTCTCACTCACTCTCTCTCTCACTCACTCACTCAGTCACTCACTCACTCTGTCACTCACTTAGTCACTCAGTTACTCACTCACTCTATCACTCACTCACTCAGTCACTCATTCAATCTGTCACTCACTCTGTCCCTCAATCAGTCACTCACTCACTCTGTCACTCACGCACTCACTCTGTCACTCACTCTGTCACTCACTCACTGTGTGTGTGTCTGTGTGTATCTGTGTGTGGTCTGTGTCTGTGTGTGTGTCTGTGTGTGTGTCTGTGTATGGTCTGTGTCTGTGTGTCTGTGTGGTCTGTGTGTGTGTGTGTCTGTGTGTGTGTCTGTGTGTGTGTGTCTGTGTGTGTGTCTATGTTGTGTGTCTATGTGTATGTGTCTGTGTGTGTATGTCTGTGTGTCTGTGTGTGTGTGTGGTGTGTGTGTGTGTTTGTGTGTGTCTGTGTGTGTATGTGTGTGTATGTGTATATGTGTGTGTCTGTCTGTGTGTGTGTCTGTGTGTGTGTATGTCTGTGTGTCTGTGTGTGTCTGTGTGTGTGTGTGTCTGTGTGTGTGTGGCTGTGTGTGTATGTGTGTGTGTATGTATGTGTGTGTGTGTATGTGTGTGAGTAGTGGGTTGTGGACCAACCCCCCACCGTGCCGCTGGCCACCGTCTCCGTGATCTTCACCTTTGTCTTCATGCTCGAGGTGCGGCCGCTGTGCCAGGCTAAGTGCACGAGGAGGTCATAGAGACCCATAGACACACAGACTCACACATAGACACACAGACTCACACAGAGACACATAGACTCACACAGAGACCCACAGACTCACACAGAGACCCACAGACTCACACACAGAGACCCACAGACTCACACAGAGACCCACAGTCTCACACATAGACCGACAGACTCACACAGAGACCCACAGACTCGCACAGAGACCCACAGACTCACACAGAGACCCACAGACTCACACAAAGACCCACAGCCTCACACAGAGACCCACAGACTCACACAGAGACCCACAGACTCACACAGAGACCCACAGACTCACACAGAGACCCACAGACTCACACAGAGACCCACAGACTCACACAGAGACCCACAGACTCACACAGAGACCCACAGACTCACACAAAGACACACACAGACTCATACAGAGACCCACAGACTCACACAGAGACCCACAGACTCACACAGAGACCCACAGACTTACACAGAGACCCACAGACTCACACAGAGACCCACAAACTCGCACAGAGTCCCACAGACTCACACAGAGACCCACAGACTCACACAGAAACCCACAGGCTCACACAGAGATCCACAGACTCAAACAGAGACCCACAGACTCACACAGAGACCCACAGACTCACACAGAGACCCACAGACTCACACAGAGACCCACAGGCTCACACAGAGACCCACAGACTCACACAGAGACCCACAGACTCACACAGAGACACACAGACTCACACAGAGACACACAGACTCACACAGAGACACACAGACTCACACAGAGACACACAGACTCAACCAGAGATATGTGGATTGAAAACGGATTTCTGTCGAGCTGCTGCTTCTACTGTTGTTGTGTTGCGTTTGTTGCGTTTGTTGTGTTTGGTTTGTTGGTGTGTTTGTTGTTGTGTTTGTTGTTGTGTTTGGATTGTTGTTGTTGTGTTTCGTTTGTTGTTGTGGTGTTTAATTTTTAATCTCTGTGTGTCTATGTGTGTGTGTGTCTGTGTGTCTGTGTGTGTGTGTCTGTGTGTGTGTCTGTGCGTGTGTCTGTGCGTGTGTCTGTGTATTTGTCTGTGTGTGTGTTTGTCTGTGTGTGTGTGTCTGTGTGTGTGTCTGTGTGTCTGTGTGTGTGTCTGTGTGTCTATGTGTGTCTGTGTGTGTGTCTGTCTGTGTGTGTCTGTATGTGTGTGTGTCTGTGTGTGTGTCTGTGTGTGTGTCTGTGTGTGTGTGTCTGTGTGTGTCTGTGTGTGTGTGTGTGTGTCTGTGTATGTGTCTGTGTGTGTGTCTGTGTGTCTGTGTGTGTGTGTCTCGTCACCAGGTGACTATGAAGTGCATCGCGATGTCGCCCGGCGGCTACTGGCAGAGCCGTCGCAACCGCTACGACCTGCTGGTCACCTGCCTGGGCATCATCTGGGTTATACTTCACCTTTCCCTGCAGGTAGGATGGCTATGAGATGTTGACTACCTCGCCTGCTCTACAGGAGGTCATGGGTTCGATCCCGACCCTGACAATGCCTGCTGCTGCTGCTGTATATGTGGAGTCTGCGTCTCTCTCTCTCTATCTCTCACTCATTATCACCACGGTGGCTATGAGATGTTGACTACCTCGCCTGCTCTACAGGAGGTCGTGGGTTTTTCTCCGCCACGTTTAGAGTCGCCATCGCCACGCGCTTCGAGCGCTATTTGGATGCCGCTATAAATATCCACGCCATGACGACGATGACGACGATCACGGCGATGACGACGATGACGGCGATGACAACGATGACGGCGATGATGACGACGATGATGACGATGATGATGATGGCAATGACGACGATGATGACGGCGATGATGATGGCGATGACGACGACGATGATGACGATGACGACGATGACGATGACGATGACGACAATCACGATGACGACGATGACGATGATGACGATGACGACGTCGACGATGATGACGATGGTGATTATGACGACGATGATGACGAGGACGACGATGATGACGACGACGATGACGACGATGATGACGATGACGACGATGACGACGATGACGGCGATGATGACGGCGATGATGACGGCGATGACGACGATGACGACGATGACGACAACGATGATGACGACGATGACGATGATGATGACGACGACGACGATGACGACGATGACGGCGATGACGACGATGATGAGGACGACGATGACGACGATGACGACGATGATGACGTCGATGACGATAATAATGACGGCGATGATGACGATGATGACGATGATGACGAGGATGATGACGACGACAATGATATCAGCCGCTTGGTAGAGCTATGAAATTAGTGATGAGAGCTACGTAGCAGCTCGTAGGTGGGTGGGCCTCAGCTGGTAAGACAAAGTCTACAACGACCACAACAACAACAACAGCAACAACAACAGCAATAACAGCAACAACAACAGCAACAACAACAACAGGAGTGTCAGGGCACCATGAGGCCGTCCACGTATTTAAGGCCGAGTCGACCTAGGGGAGGGTACCGCCGAGTTCCATTCCCGCTCACGGCCACCAACACCATCAGTGACGATTATCTGAACCGGTCCTGGACCTCCCCGAGGTTGACTCAGCCTCAAATGAGTACCTGGTGTAGCGGTGTGCAGTAAACATCGCCACTGGGGAGACAAAGGCGGCCGGGCGTGGTGCTTCATAGATGCTCCTCGCTAACAGCACTTGCCCCTACAGCCTGTTAGAGGCTACACTGGGGATCTTTGTCTGTGTCTACCTTCACAGGTGCTGCTGCTACTCGCTACTCACAATACTTGCCCCTAGAGTCTGTTAGAGGCTACACGGGGGATCTTTGTCTGTGTCTACCTTCACAGACGCTGCTGCTACTCGCTACTAACAGCACTTTCCCCTACAGTCTGTTAGAGGCTACACGGGGGACCTTTTTTGTGTGTCTGTGTGTGTGTGTCTGTGTGTCTGTGTGTGTCTGTGTGAGTATGTATCTGTCTGTGTGTGTATGTCTGTGTGTGTATGTATCCACGTGTGTGTGTATCTACGCGTGCGTGTATCTACGTGTGTATGTATCTACGTATGCGTGTGTATCTACGCGTGCGTGTATCTATGCGTGCGTGTGTATCTACGCGTGCGTGTGTATCTACGTGTGTGTATATATGTTTTCGTGCGTAGTGTAATAGCGCCGGCCGGTGGCCAGCAGCGGCAACTGCGGCCGACCGACTGACAGCGCCACCGAGGACGTAGGCCGCGGCTGTGCCCCGACAGGGCGGAGGAACTTGGGCCGGGCTCACCGAGGACCCCCAGCGGGAGGACCCCGGGAACCCGCTAGGGGCTTCGAGAAGGGCGGAACCGGGGAGGCCTTGGCGGTAGCGGTGTAGTGTTGTAAGGACGAGCAGACTTCTTAGGGGGCACACTCTGTTTATTGTATCATTTCCTTATACGACGCTTAACACACACAGAGGGATATACGGTCCCCTCACCCGATACCCTAGGGAGGTACAGCCTCCGGACTTGGCGGGACTCACACGTCTACCGCTATCCTAGTCCTCCGGCTAGGACCTAGGGGAGGCTATCTGACCCACCGCTGGCCCGGTGGGTCCTGACCACTGGGTATGCCGAGCCTTAGCCCTCAGAAGGGCTGGAAGGCTGGTCCAGGGTCCTAGCTAGGCTTCAGCCCAGTCTTCTGTCTTCGTGCAGGGAGAGAACTCCCCGAGGTCCGTTGGGTCACCCGTCTTATACCCCTTCGTGGCCAGGCAGAACCAATCATACATTCCCACGTGGAACCGTCTGATTGGTTCTGACCAAACCCTGGCCACGATCCGTTTCACCTCGACTGACCCCAACCGTTGTACCCAGGGGTAATGCTGCACTGCCCTGGTGGCAATGCAGGTTACGCAACAGCGCGCAGTTAACACCTCTACAGCGGAAAAGGAGGCGAAAGAGCATGGGAGGGGGGGTGGGGAGGCTGCCGGTTCTGTGAGTGGACTTGTGGTCGTCTCCGCTAGACCTTGCGCTGCAGTGACGGCCGCTGACGTGCGCGGCGCCGGCATGAGCCACCGTGCAGAGCGTCGCGGGCGAGACCGTGGAAGTTGATCGATGAAGAAGGGGACTCCGAAAAGCCTGGAGTCACTGATACTCCGCGTGTGCGAGTGTTTGTGTACGCGCGTGCGTGCACGTGCGCGCGTGTGTGCGTGTCGACTAGTGTTTGTGTACGCGTGTGTGTGCGCGTGTACGTGTGCGCGTGTGTGTGAACTAGTGTTTGCGTACACGTGTGTACGTGTGTGTGTGTGTACACGTGTGTGTGTGTGTGTGTGCGCGTGACAGAACGAGTACACGTACATGATGGGCGCCTGCATCATCGTCTTCCGCTTCTTCTCCATCTGTGGAAAGCACGTGAGGCTCACGCAACAACAATTACCACAACACCACCACAACCACAACCACCAACACAACACAACAAACACCACACCCCGTGTCTCTCCCCCCGTGTCTCTCCCCACGCGTGTCTCTCCCCCCGTGTCTCTCCCCCCCCCCCCCCCCGCGTCTCTCCCCCCGTGTCTCTCTCCCCCCCCCGTGTCTCTCCCCGTGTCTCTCCCCCCGTGTCTCTCCCCTCCCCGTGTCTCCCCCCGTGTCTCTCCCCCTGCGTCTCTCTAGGCCACCCTCAAGATGCTTCTGCTCACCGTGGTGGTCAGCATGTACAAGAGCTTCTTCATCATCGTGGGCATGTTCCTGCTGCTGCTCTGCTACGCCTTCGCCGGTGTCGTCCTCTTCGGAACTGTGAAGTATGGCGAGAACATCAACCGGTGAGCTCAATTGGCCGACCATAAATGACGTCACGCCCCTAAGGGGAGGGGGGGGGGTCAGACATTTGTGACGATGCGTGACGAGGGGGGGGGCGGGGTTTGAGAAATGTGACGTCACGTCAAAATGCGGCAACTTTATCAATAAATAGAGGCAACGCGTTCTACTTAAATCTCGATTTAAAGCTCTCGTGACTGGGGGATTCATGTTTTTGGTTCTTTCGGTAAAGTCACCACCGCGTTAGAAGGGAAACAATAAAATAAAAATATAAAACAATAAAAAATCTCACGACGTTTCGACTGCAACACCAAGCAATCATCGTCAGGTGTGAAAACCACAGCAGGAAAATTTGAAAGCAGTTACACTTAGATATAAAAAAAATTAAAAATGTTATCTTGCTGTGGTTTTCACACCTGATGATGATTGCCGAATGGCTCACAGGGCTCTACCAAATAAATGAACTATGAACTATGAGTAACACTCATTCTGCAAGCTCTGCCGTCCTACAGTGAAGTATCTAGCCAACCCCACGTATGTGAGAGTGGTGGTGGGTGAGTTACACTCATTCTCCAAGCTCTGTGATCCTACAGTGAATTGTCTAGCCAACCCCACGCATGCGAGGGAGTGGTTGTGGGTGAGTTACACTCATTCTCCAAGCTCTGCCGTCCTATAGTGAAGTGTCTAGCCAACCCCACGCATGCGAGAGTGGTGGTGGGTGAGTTACACTCATTCTCCAAGCTCTGTGATCCTATAGTGAAGTGTCTAGCCAACCCCACGCATGCAGAGTGGTGGTGGGTGAGTTACACTCATTCTCCAAGCTCTGCTGTCCTACAGTGAAGTGTCTAGCCAACACCACGCATGCTAGAGAGTGGTGGTGGGTGAGTTCCACTCATTCTCAAAGCTCTGTGATCCTACATTGAAGTGTCTAGCCAACCCCACGCATGCTAGAGAGTGGTGGTGGGTGAGTTACACTCATTCTCCAAGCTCTGTGATCCTATAGTAGAATATCTGGCCAACCCCACGTATGCTAGAGAGTGGTGGTGGATGGGTTGTGCTCATTCCTCAATCTCTGCTGTCCTACAGTGAAGTGTCTAGCCAACCCCACGCATGCAGGGGAGGGCGTTAGGGGTGGATTACACTCATTCCTCAAGCTCTGCTGCGCTACAGTGAAGTGTCTAGCCAACCCCACGCATGCTATGGTGTGGTGGTGGGTGAGTTAGACTCATTCTCCAAGCTCTGTGATCCTACAGTGAAGTGTCTAGCCAACCCCACGCATGCGAGAGTGGTGGTGGGTGAGTTACACTCATTCTCCAAGCTCTACCTTCCTACAGTGAAGTGTCTAGCCAACCCCACGCATGCGAGGGAGTGGTGGTGGGTGAGTTACACTCACTCTCCAAGCTCTGTGATCTTTCAGTGAAGTGTCTAGCCAACCCCACGCATGCGAGGGAGTGGTGGTGGGTGAGTTACACTCATTCTCAAAGCTCTGTGATCCTATAGTAGAATATCTGGCCAACCCCAAGCATGCTAGAGAGTGGTGGTGTCTGGGTTGTGCTCATTCCTCAAGCTCTGCCGTCCTACAGTGAAGTGTCTAGCCAACCCCACGCATGCGAGAGTGGTCGTGGGTGAGTTACACTCATTCCTTAAGCTCTGCTGTCCTACAGTGAAGTGTCTAGCCAACCCCACGCATGCTAGAGAGTGGTGGTGGGTGAGTTACACTCATTCTCCAAGCTCTGTGATCCTACAGTGAAGTCTCTAGCCAACCCCACGCATGCGAGGGAGTGGTGGTGGGTGAGTTACACTCATTATCAAAACTCTGCCGTCCTACAGCGAAGTGTCTAGCCAACCCCACGCATGCGAGGGAGTGGTAGTGGGTGAGTTACACTCATACTCCAAGCTCTGTGATCCTATAGTAGAATATCTGGCAAACCCCAAGCATGCGAGAGAGTGGTGGTGTCTGGGTTGTGCTCATTCCTCAAGCTCTGCGATCCTACAGTGAAGTGTCTAGCCAACCCCACGCATGCTAGAGAGTGGTGGTGGATGGGTTACACTCATTCCTCAAGCTCTGCTGTCCTACAGTGAATTGTCTAGCCAACCCCACGCATGTGAGAGTGGTGGTGGGTGAGTTACACTCATTCTGCAAGCTCTGTGATCCTACAGTGAAGTCTCTAGCCAACCCCACGCATGCTATGGTGTTGTGGTGGGTGAGTTACACTCATTCTCCAAGCTCTGTGATCCTATAGTGAAGTGTCTAGCCAACCCCACGCATGCGAGGGAGTGGTAGTGGGTGAGTTACACTCATACTCCAAGCTCTGTGATCCTATAGTAGAATATCTGGCCAACCCCACGCATGCTAGAGAGTGGTGGTGGATGGGTTGTGCTCATTCCTCAAGCTCTGCCGTCCTACAGTGAAGTGTCTAGCCAACCCCACGCATGCGGGGGAGGGCGTTAGGGGTGGATTACACTAATTCTGCAAGCTCTGCGGCCCTGTAGTTGTTGTTGTTGTTAATGTGCGGTGGTTATCCTCAGGCACGCCAACTTCTCCACGGCTGGCAAGGCCATCACGGTGCTGTTCCGCATCGTCACGGGCGAGGACTGGAACAAAATCATGCACGATTGCATGGTGAGTGGTCGGGCGGTGTGCTCGTGTGTGTTCGTGTGTCTGCGTGCGTGTGTGTTCGTGTGTGTTCGTGCGTGTTCGTGCGTGTGTCTGCGTGCGTGTGTTCGTGTGTTCGTGCGTTTGTGTTCGTGTGTCTGCGTGCGTGTGTGTTCGTGCGTATTCGTGTGTGTTCGTGTGTGTGCGTGCGTGCGTGCGTGTGTGTGCGTGCGTGTGTGTTCGTGTGTGTGCGTGCGTCTGTGTTCGTGCGTGCTCGTGCGTGTGTGTTCGTGCGTGTTCGTGCGTGTGTGTGCGTGTGTGTTCGTGTGTGTTCACGCGTGTGTCTGCGTGCGTGTGTGTTCGTGCGTGTGTGTTCGTGTGTGTTCGTGCGTGTGTGTTCGTGCGTGTTCGTGCGTGTGTTCGTGTGTGTTCACGCGTGTGTGTGCGTGTGTTCGTGTGTGTGCGTGTGTGTTCGTGCGTGTGTGTGCGTGTGTGTTCGTGTGTGTTCGTGCGTGTTCGTGTGTGTGCGTGCGTGTGTGTTCGTGTGTGTTCACGCGTGTGTCTGCGTGCGTGTGTCTGCGTGCGTATTCGTGCGTGTGTGTCCGTGTGTTCACGCGTGTGTCTGCGTGCGTGTGTCTGCGTGCGTGTTCGTGTGTGTTCACGCGTGTGTCTGCGTGCGTGTGTGTTCGTGTGTCTGCGTGCGTGTGTTCGTGCGTGTTCGTGTGTCTGCGTGCGCGTGTGTTCGTGTGTGTTCACGTGTGTGTTCACGTGTGTTCGTGCGTGTTCGTGCGTGTGTGTTCACGCGTGTGTCTGCGTGCGCGTGTTCGTGCGTGTTCGTGCGTGTGCGTGTGTTCGTGTGTCTGCGTGCGTGTGTTCGTGTGTGTTCGTGTGTGTTCGTGTGTGTTCACACGTGTGTCTGCGTGCGTGTGTTCGTGTGTGTGTGTTCGTTTGTGTTCACGCGTGTGTCTGCGTGCGTGTTCGTTTGTGTGCGTGTGTGCGTATGTGCGTGTGTGCGTGTTCGTGTGCGTGCGTGTGTGTCTGTGTGTGTGTGGGGGGAGCGGTGGTGCAGCGGTTAGCGCTACCGCTGCGCTCCGAACCCGGCGACCTGAGTTCGATTCCCGCTCGCGGCCACCACCAACAGCATCAGTGACGACTATCTGATAGGGTCCTGGGCCTCGCCTAGGTCGACTCGGCCTCAAATGTGTACTTTGGTGCTGTGTGTGTAGTAAACATCGCCATTGGGGAGACAAAGGCAGTCGGGCGTGGTGCTGGTAGCCACCGACCCCCTCGTGTGCCACAGTGCCGGCCTTGGTAGGGACTGCAGCTACTCGCTAACAGCACTTGCCCCTACAGTCATCACGGTGGCTATGAGATGTTGACTACCTCGCCTGGTGTGCAGGATGCCGTGAGTTCCATCCCTGACGATGCCTGCTGCTGTAGATTTGGAGTCTGCGTGTCTCTCTCTCATCATCATCACGGTGGCTATGAGATGTTGACTACCTCGCGTGGTCTACAGGAGGTCGTGGGTTCCATCCCGACCCTGTACATGTGGAGTCTGCGTCTCTCACTCATCATCATCACGGTGGCTATGAGATGTTGACTACCTCGCCTGGTCTACAGGAGGTCGTGGGTTCCATCCCGACCCTGTACATGTGGAGTCTGCGTCTCTCATCATCATCACGGTGGCTATGAGATGTTGACTACCTCGCCAGATCTACAGGAGGTCGTGGGTTCCATCCCGACCCTGACGACGCCTGCTGCTGTATATGTGGAGTCTGCGTCTCTCATCACCATCACGGTGGCTATGAGATGTTGACTACCTCGCCCGGTCTACAGGAGGTCGTGGGTTCCATCCCGAGCCTGTATATGTGGAGTCTGCATCTCTCATCATCATCATCATCACGGTGGCTATGAGATGTTGACTACCTCGCCTGGTCTCCAGGAGGCCGTGGGTTCCATCCCGACCTGTTGCTGTATATTTGGAGTCTGCATCTCATCATCATCATCATCACGGTGGCTATGAGATGTTGACTACCTCGCCTGGTATACAGGAGGTCGTGGGTTCCATCCCGACCCTGTACATGTGGAGTCTGCGTCTCTCATCATCATCACGGTGGCTATGAGATGTTGACTACCTCGCCTGGTATACAGGAGGTCGTGGGTTCCATCCCGAGCCTGTATATGTGGAGTCTGCGTCTCTCATCATCATCATCACGGTGGCTATGAGATGTTGACTACCTCGCCTGGTCTACAGGAGGTCGTGGGTTCCATCCCGAGCCTGTATATGTGGAGTCTGCGTCTCTCATCATCATCATCACGGTGGCTATGAGATGTTGACTACCTCGCCTGGTCTACAGGAGGTCGTGGGTTCCATCCTGACCCTGTACATGTGGAGTCTGCGTCTCTCATCATCATCACGGTGGCTATGAGATGTTGACTACCTCGCCTGCTCTACAGGTGCTGCCCCCGTTCTGCACGCCCAGCCGCGTGAACTACTGGGAGACGGACTGCGGGAACTACGCAGGGGCGCTGCTCTACTTCTGCTCCTTCTACGTCATCATCGCCTACATCATGCTCAACCTCCTCGTCGGTAATGTTGTCGTCGTCCTCGTCGTCGTCATCGTCGTCATCGTCGTCGTCATCGTCGTCGTCGTGGTCGTCATAGTCGTCATAGTCGTCATCGTCATCATCGTCATTATCGTCATTATCGTCATCGTCGTCATCATCGTCGTCATCATCGTCGTCATCGTCATCGTCGTCGTCATCGTCACTTGCATCCTGCTCAACCTACAGGGGTGTATAGGTGTGTGTGTGTACAGGTGTGTGTGTGTACAGGTGTGTGTGTACGGGTGTGTGTGTGTACAGGTGTGTGTGTACGGGTGTGTGTGTGTGTACGGGTGTGTGTGTGTACAGGTGTGTGTGTGTACAGGTGTGTGTGTGTATACAGGTGTGTTTGTGTGCACAGGTGTGTGTGTGTGTGTACAGGTGTGTGTGTACAGGTGTGTGTGTGACGATTATCTAAACCGGTCCCGGGCCTCCCCTAGGTAGACTCAGCCTCAAATGAGTACCTGGTGCCGTGTGTAAACATCGCCACTAGGGAGACAAAGGCGGTCGGGCGTGGTGCTGGTAGCCACCCACCCCCTCGTGTACCATTCCGGCCTTCACAGGTGCTGCTCGCTAACAGCACTTGCCCCTACAGTCAGTTACAGGCTACACGGGGGCCTTTGTTTTTGTGTGTACTCAGCCATCATCGTGGAGAACTTCTCGCTCTTCTACTCGACGGAGGAGGATCAGCTGCTCAGCTACAACGACCTCCGGCACTTCCAGATCACCTGGAACATGGTGGACGACAAGAGAGAGGTGAGCCCAGAACCCTGCCCACAGCCCTGCCCACGGCCCTGCCCACAGCCCTGCCCACAGCCCTGCCCAGGGCCCTGCCCAGAACCCTGCTCAGAACCCTGCCCACAGACCTGCCCACGACCCTGCCCACAGCCCTGCCCACAGCCCTGCCCACAACCCTGCCCGGGGCCCTGCCCACAACCCTGCCCAGAGCCCTGCCCAGGGCCCTGCCCACAGCCCTGCCCACAACCCTGCCCACAGCCCTGCCCACGGCCCTGCCCAGGGCCCTGCCCACAGCCCTGCCCAGTGCCCTGCCCAGAGCCCTGCCCACAGCCCTGCCCAGAGCCCTACCCAGAGCTCTGCCCTTGCCCCTTGTGTGTGTGTACGTGTGTGTGTGTACGTGTGTGTGTGTACGTGTGTGTACGTGTGTGTACGTGTGTGTGTACGTGTGTGTGTGTACGTGTGTGTGTGTACGTGTGTGTACGTGTGTGTGTGTACGTGTGTGTGTGCACGTGTGTGTACGTGTGTATGTACGTGTGTGTACGTGTGTGTGTATGCGTGTGTGTGTACGTGTGTGTGTGTGTACGTGTGTGTGTACGTGTGTGTGTACGTGTGTGTGTACGTGTGTGTGTGTACGTGTGTGTGTGTACGTGTGTGTACGTGTGTGTACGTGTGTGTGTACGTCTGTGTGTGTACGTGTGCACGTGTGTACGTGTGTGTGTACGTGTGCACGTGTGTGTACATGTGTGTGTGTTTGTGTGTGTGTGTACGTGTGTGTGTACGTGTGTGTGTGTACGTGTGTGTGTGTACGTGTGTGTGTACGTGTGTGTGTCCTTAAGCTAGCCTGCCTACGATCCATCCTGGGTTTAACCAGACTGGATTGTGTGAGGAGCTCAAAAATCCTCGAAAGATCTGGGCAAGGTCCCATCCGTGAGCTCCTCCGGCAGGCAAGGCTGCGTTGGCTGGGTCATGTAGCCCGCATGCCCAGCCACCGCATGCCGAAACAGTTTTTGTTCGGCCGGATTGAGGGGGCTAAACGGACGCGGCACGGGCTAGAGAAGAGATGGAGTGATGTGGTACAGGAGGACGTGGAGCTGAGTGGACTTGCCGATGACCGGTACCAGCGGTGTCAAGATCGGCCTCTGTGGAGGAGGCTCGTGAAGGACGCTGCTACTGGGCACTTGGAGGCAGTCGCCCTCCAACAACAACGGAGGGCGGAGGAACGACGCTCACAATAACGAGCGGAGCGCCGGGTGGCTAAAGCACAGCAGGTTGGCACAGTAGGGGGCACAGGTGGTGCATCAGCCAGTCATCTCAGTCAGCCGACCCGTGGCACCTGTTAGGTCTGCCCCGTGACCTCCTCCTGTCAGCGCGGCGAGCCTTCGACACCTCACGTGGCGGCCTCAAAGTGGTGCACCTAGCCTGGCGCGTGCGCCGCCGTGGTGACGTCGTTGGCATCGGTGCGCCGAACTGCCCTCGCCACCGTACGTAGCCAACCGCGCTAATCGGAGGTGCGGTGTGGGGGGGGGGATAGAGATAGCGTTGACTCCTGACCCCTGAGCCCTGCCCCCTTGCCCTTTGACCCCTGCCAGGGACTGATCCCCACCTCCAGGGTCAAGTTCCTGCTCCGTCTCCTCAAGGGCCGCCTGGAGGTGGATCTGGAGAAGGACAAACTCCTTTTCAAGCACATGTGCTACGAGATGGACAAGCTGCACAATGGCAGCGCCGTCACCTTCCACGACGTGCTCAGGTGGCGCTCACCGCTCATCGCTCGCTCACCACTCGCTCACTCACCACTCGCTCACTACTCGCTCACTCACCACTCACTCACTCACCACTTGCTCACCGCTCGCTCACCACTCACTCGCTCACCACTTGCTCACCGCTCGCTCGCTCACTCACCACTCACTCGCTCACTCAATCGCTTGCTCACTCACCACTCACTCGCTCACCGCTCACTCACCACTCACTCCCTCACTCACCGCTCACTCACCACTCACTCGCTCACTCACCACTCACTCGCTCACCACTTGTTCGCTCGCCGCTCGCTCGCCGCTCGTTCACCGCTCACTCACTCGCTCACAGCTCGCTCGCTCGCTCACTCACCACTCACTCGCTCACCACTCACCACCCACCCACTCACTCACTCGCCCGCTCACTCACTCGCTCACCA